CCATGGGGAGCCAATTTAACACCACCACTGTGTGGCCCCCACCTGGATGATGCGACGGCAGCTATTCTGCACCAGTACGCTCACCACACAGTAGCTAAGGTGGTGAAGGGGCAGAAGAGAATTCATCAGTTAGATACAGGGGATAATTAGGAGGCCAGATTTGAAAAGGCCACAGTGGGCAATTTAGCCAGGGCATCGGGTAGCACCCCTACCCCAATTAGAGTAAAATATGGCTAGCTAAAGCACTGAAGAGCAATGAATTTTAATGAAGACAGAATGATAGCATAAATATTGTTTAACCTCTGACCAAAGCTGCCAGTACTCCCCATAAATAGCTTATTTATCTGAATTCTTTCTTAAATTATACAGATATATTAACAGATAAGTGTTTTCTGTAGAGTTATCACCATAATTATTATGCTTAATCCTTAACCGATGCATTTACCATAGCGAATGTATGCATTAATGGACCCGCACATTTTAATAGAGTAACTCCAGTAAAATGCCTTGCTGATGAGCTTACGAGCAGAGTGACTGCTAAAAACCAAGCATTTCGATTTAGGTTATGAGTCCATGTTTAACCACCATGTAATCATTACTATGGTTTAAGAAACAAATAAGATCATGTGGTTCACAGGGATTCGTGAATCGAGTAAGGAAGACAGGAGTGTTTGGTCAACCAGCAAAGCATCCCGTGGCTCAGTCTTTGCGTCAGATCCGACTCCGTACAGCCTTACGACATGGCAGTCAGGCACGAGATGTTTGCCTTCCTCAATGTTAGCATCTGTGCTGCAGAGGAACCGCCCTCTTGCAGGTGCACTAGAGGTGACGAACTGCCGGCAAAGGATTATACCCCACCAATCACCACCACCCCACCACAAGCCCTTTCTAATAACACGATGGTCCTCCGCATTCAAGTCTGTGATAGATAATGGTACGGAAAGACAAGGAAGCGGGTGACAAATGGTCAGCCTACCGTTAATGGCGGCACCAACTCCGCCTTTTTGCACGAATTCTCTGCTATAATGTATAAACACACAAGCAAGATTAATAATGATCTGTTCCAGCAGAGGAGTCCTTAGTTCAGCACCCCACACACATTGTGGACATTAACCAGATGCAATATTCATATTCAAGCCGGCAGCCTAATAAATAAATACATGGAGAATTGTGCTCGGATTCTGTGTCATGGCTTGCAGACAAGTTTTTACCAAATGAATTATTTCTGTGCTTGGCTGACACCCTTTTGCAAAACTACTTACTGCTCTACCAGATTCAAAAACATTATGCAATTCTAAAAAATATTCACAAGCTTGACTTAACCTGCTCTTCGTCAGATAGAGTATTTCACCAAAAGGTGAAAGGTCTCAAAGGGCTTGTTCTCATAGGGAGTTAAATCTTCAGGTCAGTCATTCAAGTGTTTTGTATTAGTAACTACAGCCCTACACATAATGTATAGGATCATGTATTGTAAAGAGTAGAACATATGTTGTAATATGTAATTAGTGTGTAATTAAATCAACATACATGTGATGAGGTACAGCATAGTGACACTGGTAGCACTGAATTTTAATTCTGTCCCTGCACTGTGTCTTGCACTAGATAATCTTGACACTTGCAGCAATCCAAAAAATTTGGACTGGAGGCAGCCATAGTGGTGTCTCTAAATGTCCCATAAATTGTGAAGGTGTATGCCCAGTGATGGACTGGCATCCAGTGCCTTGTGTTCTCCTCTTCCTGGGATAAGCTCCTGGTTAACACTGGAACTCTGTACTGGATATGGAAGATGGATGGAGGTCCGGGGTGTGGCGAGGGGTGAAAAGGCATCGTCATTACATCACAGAGATAAGGAGTCTGTGACTCTTGATGATAGGAAGAATGCTAGCAAAGGATGAAATACCCCATAGTGCCAATATATCACAGGCCATTCACACCTATAGAACAGTGGTACTTTATTCATCGTTATGTGGCAAAAGGGTCATTTTTAATATCCCACCTGGCTTTCTGTGAGAGACAGAGACACACACAAGAGCAGGTTGTGGGTCAGAACCCAGGGTTAGCCAGCATCCAGCCTGACCCGGGTCAAAGGTCCAACAGTGACAGGTTTACTCTGCCGACTACAGGATTCGGACCTACAAATAGGTGCTGCCATCTACTGGATAGAAACAAAAAACCAAAAATAAGAATGGTATACTGTGTCTATTGAAACTTACTAAATGTCATTGTTGAGAATAACAGCCATACGAAGATTAGATTAGAGTGGGTGGCACAGATAGATAGATGGATGACAGACAGACAGAGAATTTACTATAGTCTTCAGGTACTGAGGTGACAGGTGGTTTTGAATCACCTGTCCTACCCATTTTTACCCCATTTTGTATGAACTCTGGATGCATATTGTGTGTTAGTGTCACAGTATGTTTACCCTGCAGCCTCTTCTCCAGTAACATTATCCAGTACAACCGCTTGTCTGCTCCCATGTGAAATTAATCACTACATCCCCACACTCCGCCCCATGGGACCTGTTGGCACTGATCATGGCACATAAGTACACAGTGCTTGTAGTGGTGTGTTGGACGTTTTTCAAGAAGAAAAGTTCTGAATGGCATTTTAATTGAACCTGGTGTTCAGGAAACCACTCCAGTTTAGCAGTGTACATGGGGACAATATCATCTAGGAACTTGAGAACATCGTGCACCACAGGCCTAGGGGTCATCCTGATGCTGTAAAAAGGTCAGGATTGCTTGGCTGTTATACAGCCATGTGTCTAATGAGTGCCATGCGTTGACGATCCTTACCAACAAACAAACTCTGGTTCGACGGCATCCTTAGGCTTTCTGGAACCCTTAAGCCTGCCTGCATACAGGAAAGGGGGCGAAAGAAAACTCCAGGTTTTGTGCTCCACCTACCAGGTCTTTTCACATTGGCCTTGCATACATACGTTATTCAAACAGCAGCCCTGCCATTAATTCCAGCTTAGTGAAGCTCACAACATAATTAAAAAATCTACGTAATAAGTACATAACTACACCCCCAAACGTAACATACACCAGCCCACTTTCAAGCCCAATGGACATGCAGAGCCTGAACTTCAAGAGTATCATTTGTTGACTGAGAAACAAAATAATTACTATGTTCTTGTTAGTCAGGGATGTAATAGAGGATAAACACACGTAAACGCTGTTAACGCGCCTTTTTAATTAAAAAGCAGTGTTTACTCACTTGCCACTAAGTAATTTAAAAAGTCTGAATCAAACATGTACCGCATCATTCACTGTGCTAGCCTAAACAGCACACCACACTAAAATATAACAAAATTGCCTGCTTATTGGAATTCACAAGTCACCCGATCATGAATAGGAAAGATGTATTTTAGCCGTTTCCTCAGTGAAAACTATCCTACATCACAAAATAAAAGGTTGCATATCCATGGTCAGCGCACTCGCAATTCAGCCATGCGCTTTTGTTTATAGGAGTCAAATCAGGCATTTTCACATTTTTTGATCCATTAATTAGTGCCAAATTACCATATCGTCATCATATGAATAGCGATATTCACAAATGGGTGAATCAACATTGCTTCCTGACTCAGTGACTCTTGTTCATTATTTCTCTCACAAAGCTGTAAAACATATTTTGATTTTTTTATTTTATTTTTTTTGAAAAGCAGTTAATTTAGTTTTTAAAACAGTTTGCCGAGATTTCGGTTTTATCCTGCATGTAGCATTGCCAGAGGGTTAAAAAAAAAATATTAAGTGTCTAAATTACATCCTGAGAACATAAAATCAGACGTCTGTTGACATTTGAAGCATTTAATGAGGCAAATTTCTTCACTCCACTACCACTGAGAGGCTGCCATTTTTGGTGAATTGTTCTGACGCTCCAAGCTGGTCACGTGATCAGCGGCTAGCATTCTGACTGTTCTGATCTCAGAAAGTTGCCGGTTGAGATCAAAATTGTCCAGATAGAAATTCGTTGCCCGTTCTCAATGGGAAAGTCACTGCACATAAAGTAGCCCTGTGTATCGTCACCTTTAGTCCTCACTGTTGTCTCTTTGGTTTTACATCACTGTTGCTCTCCAAATCCGCCAATGCTTTCATCAAGCTGACCCTTCTGCAGTGGAAAAGCCAAACGGGCAGGTAACACACTGAAACTAGACTCTCTTCAGAGTAAAACTCGTACTCGCACTAGTGTAAAGGTGCCATAAGTGCGAGGATTCATGGAAAGGTAAGGCATCCTTAATCACCAGCGATGTGTTCGCACTTGTTTAATAGTTTAATGAGCCTCATTTCCCCACAGAAACCAGCACTACTGATGTTTTACATTCAGGTGACTTGATATTGTGATTGTTTTTTTTTTTTAAGGTGGACAGAAAGAAATTTGAAACTTGTAATTATCGAAGTGATTCCCACTTTTATAAAAATGCACTTACATACCTTTATAAAGGACCAAAATTAGACGCTTTTCAGGGTGGTGTGGTGTGGTTACTGGTGATGCTGAAGCTCCCAACAGAAATACAAGCACCAGGTCAGGATTCCACCACGAGTTGTCCAGCTTTCATAAGCAGACATCTGTACTAATGGAGGTTATTTAATTCAATTAGGGATATAGTGAAATTACAAAGTACACAGACTAATGCCCCCAACCCAGAGGTATCAAAAGTACTAAGCAGGCACGGGGTCTGGCTTCTATTCCAGCTGAACAAGTTCCATTTATAGTCATCATATGCATAAGCAAGTCACAGCACCTACAGGCTGTTAAATTCTCAGGACTCAAGTTCCCATAGATGCAGGTCTAATCCAGTACAGATTTTTGCCAAAAGCCCTTAAAATCATGTAGGGTAAATGCTTAAAAGATTCTAGTGAGGCTACATTAGTTATTCACAGCAAGGCAGGTAGGTAACACCTGTGGCACACATTAGTGATCATTACTGAAAAACGACACCTGATATGACTCACAAAAAGATATCACACTCAATGATGTAAAAAAAAAAGGCTGAATTTGAATTGAAAATAGTTTTATTTTGCTAAATGTATGAGCAAGAGAGATGCACTTAACTGAGTGGACACTCCAGTAAAAAGGCAAACTGCATCCCATTGCAGATTGGGAGGGGGGATGGGGGGGGGGTGCTCAGAACAAACAGAACATTTCATTATGCCATCATGAGACAGACAGGTCAATGGAACAGAATAACGGAAAAGTATAAACAGTTCATTTTTGTTTTGTTTGGAGCTAGCTAACAGCTAACAGCTTTCCCAACAAAGAAACGCCGAGTATGATTATTAAAAGAGTGGTGCCAGACCATATGCTTACAGATAAAGCCCAGTTCTAAGTCTTAGAGAAGCTGACAAGGTGCAGTACAGGAACGGGTCACCTGCCAGGACATTTGTACTAATTCGGTAAAATGTCAAAAACACTTCGACCTTAAAGAGTGAGTGAAATCATTAAGAAGCAAGTTGAAAATGCAATGCGCCAGGGCCATTAAATACAGCAACTCATCCTCATTACAGCTAATGCCATCTAATTACATCATTTAAAGGCAACCTGGGAGGAGGCTTTACATACCCAGACAACATCCGATATCAACATTAACGTAAGTAATAAGTGGTAATTGAGGTCAACCATGCCCACTTATTCAAGTTAATGTTCCCATGAAGTTAACCTCTTAAAGGGAAAAAAATATGAATATTCACTCATTTCTAAATGTTCATTTAAGAGTTTCATCTTTTTACAGCATTTTATAAACTGCATTAACATAATGCACAACTAGCCCTGTAATCATAATACATTTTCAATAGCCAGTAAGAATTAACAGCATAAGAATTCATTCCCCTAAAATTCTTTGACACCAATTCGACAAAGGGTTTCAAAATGTGTAATGATCAGATAACCCATTATAAATTACAGTAATATCAGGCAGTCCCACTGGACAAGGCACCATTCAGTACATCAGTGTATAAAGATGCATATTTTTTTTTTGAGACCCTCATCAGCAGTAACATGTAATCCTCAGAATTCTTAAGGAATTTGGCTACATAAAAAGCCCCAATGGGCTACAGAATAGAGATGAAAGTCCAGTTTTTTTGCCTTTTTTTTCCCATCTTGCGTACATGTTGGTGTTTAAGACAAATGCATATTTGGATTTGTGTACTGTTGTTCTGATTTAAATGGTAACATTTAGAAAACATTGCAGTTTATACAATTATTTTCTACACTAATATTAAGCAGACATCTGCAATCAAACCCATTTTTTAAAAACTGAACCGATCTCTTACCTGTAGCCAAATTTGAACAGAAATACAAGGAGTTAGAGAACTGTAGGTATTTGCTACTAAATGCAAAAGCCAAAAGTAGCTTAAACAAGAGGTAGGTGTTTCAGCGCAAATACAATTAGGAAACATCACATGGTCTTAAAAAAGTACAGTTTTAGAAGTACATATTAAGTAATAATGAAACAATTTGCAGGATTATGAGCAGTCAATTATCCACATCTAACAAATGCATGGGGCATTCTTAATTCAATATGAATTCAAATGTTATCCACTGGTACTGGTTCTTGACCCAAAATGTGAAGTATAAAGATACCACCACATTGTATTCTGACCTCAAGAGTTATCTTAAAAGGATGCATAGTCACGTGTCTCTCTCGATTTTATGTAAATACACACACACACATACACACACACACCTCAATAGATAATATCCAGAGACCAAATGGAGCTGTGATTGTTAATACAGAGGGATGCCTCCTATTTTCCAAACAATATATAACAAAATTAAATGATTAAACATTTGGTATATTCATCTATAAAGATACAAATCAAAGCTTGGTATAGTGGAATCCTGTTAAACTGGGGGGAAAAGGTTTCTAAATTTTAAACAACCCTCCATGACCAAATTTAATTTCATCATTCTTTTGACACCAGAAAAACATTTCCAGTTAACTTGAAGGTAGTAAAATCAGCTTGATGCTGGAGAAGGATGACATTCGGCTTACTGCTGCGCCATTCGCTGAGGTGTCCTACGCAACCCAAGCAGTTTACAGCTGGTTTACAGTTTCCCGTTTTTCAGCTTTATTGATTCTCTGTACAATACTAACCTCTCCGTAGTGTGGGGGGGCAGCTTATTCCTCTTAGCCCGTACGATGCAGCTAGCAAGGGGGAAGAGACGGTCAAAGCCTCTGGAAGTGGCGGGTACAGCTAGAAGCTTGCGGGAAAGGCTCCGCAGCTGAGGAAAGCGCGTTGCTTCCCGCCAGAAAACCTGGGTGGACCTGTCACCATCCAGCAAGGGCTCCGACAGGTAAAGTTCCAACTCGGAAAGCTTCATGTGTTTAGCGGGCGGCTGAAAGAAGCTGAAGATCTTTTTGCGTTTGATGTTGCTGCCTGGAGGAGAGCTCGGTGTGTCTGCTTCCTCCTGGCACTCCTCCACATGTTCTGTTTTCACGCAGCCATCCTCTGGCAAGTTCCAGGTGTCCATGTCTTCCAATGCAGACTCCACTAGTGTCCTTGCTTGGAATTTGGAAGGGGCTGACAAGGTGACGTCCTCCGTCTCCAGTTTGGCGTCTTCAAAGGGCTGCAGTTTGATGCGAGGGTCAAGAACCGTGGCCAGGATCAAGTCCCTTTGCAGAAGGAGGGGCTGGAAGCGAGCATGCAAGCCCATACGAAGGCTCTTACTAAAGTGACTATAATTGGTGGACCTAATAGATAAGGTCTTGTCAAGGCCAATGAGAGATGGGATGATGAGGGAGAAGGTGACACCCTCTTCCTGTAGAACCTGGATGGCCTCCTCAAAGGGCTCCAGCAGGCCAATGATGTCCAGCACCTGTTCCCGCTTGGCCCGCACTGCTGGAGGGGAGCTTGACGTGTCTTTGGCCTCAATGCGGGCCTGTGCCAACAGTGTCATGACTGAGCCCCACATAGCCTCCTGCACCATCCGGCGCACCGCCACAAAGGTGGAGTTCCAACGGAAGCTGCTGAGGCTGTGCGGGGGCCCAAGGGAAATGCCACACTCCTTCACCAACATCTCATTCCAGTAGCCACTGTGACGGAAGAAGGATACCACATTCTGTACCTGAGACAGTACATTCTCCACTACTCGCGAGTTCTTTAGGGCCTCTTTGATGACCAGCTGCAGCAGGTGGGCAATAGAATTCACCCTTGTGCCGAACTGAATATCAGAAAACTCGTCTGAAGAGGCTGGGAAATCATCCAGAAAGCTTAGCATGTCTTCCTCATCGGGGTCATTTCTCAAAGAGGAACGTATGATTTTATAATCACAGAAGAGACTGTTGGTGGCAATGGTGGTCTTGGCCTCATTTGTAATGATGTAGCCAATGTTATGTGGAAACAAACCGTAGCTCAACAACACAGCCTCAAGCTCACGGGCCACCGATGACATAATGTTCTTGCGGCTCAGGTGACGGAAGGCAACAGTGGGACGATGGATATTCCAGTAGTCATCAATGAAGTGCAGCTGGACTGCAATGATTGGCTCAGCATACTGGCTACTCCACAGGTCCAAGGTGACATGGATAACGGCATCACCTCCACTCACGGCCACGCAGCACTTCAACTCACGGATGAGGTGGGGCTTGACAGTCTTCTCCACTTCATCATACAACTTCAAACCCACAGTGCGCTGTGAGAGCCTTGGGTACCGAGCGTCCACCACTGACATGAAGTTGCGGAAACCAGAGCCTTCCACGACGTTAAGCGGCAGCATGTCTTCCGCAATCATGCGCAAAATTGCTTCGGTGATACTCTTGTGGCGACTCGGCTGGGAAGAGCCAGAGCTGGAGGAAGAGGTGGGAGTCGGGGGAGATGTAGAGCTGGTGATCTGGCCAGCAGACGGGCTTGAGGACTCTTTCATCACCACACTAGATGGTGGGACAACAGCTTTCAGCTTTGTAGCGGACGATTCCTTCCTAAATTTCAATTTTGTCTTTTGTTCCATTTTGGTATCTTTTTTTGATGTCTAAAGAGAGAGAAAGCAAATATCAATTCTCTGTAACGAACAACAAACATGCAGTCAATATTATGAAACTACAAGCACCATGCTTAACCTCATATAGCATGTACAGCCAGGGGCGGATTAACGCACAGGCTAGATATGGCTTAAGCCTAGGGGCCCCACATGTGCCAGCCTGCAATGGGGCCCCCATTGGCGCGGAGGGGGGCGGGGTTGGGGGGCCCACAGACTACTGTAGCCTAGGGGCCTCTGTACACCTTAATCCGCCCCTGTGTACAGCATACAAAACCCCTTCAATAAGTTCTACAAGATGCACTTGTTTAAACTCCCAGAACATTTTACTGTAACATCAATATAATGCTTGCATATAAACAATTCGTTATATAATTTATAGAAGGGAAAAGCAATGGCAGATTGGTTAGCGATAATGCATTAAGACAAATAGATTTAGTGCAAAAAAGCAGCATTAGCCAGAAACCTAACTTAATGTTACCCTGTTAAAACCATCAATGAAGACAAATGTAACAACATAATATAAATAGGTCTACTAGAAATAAACCCATTTAAGTTATGCTAAAAATGTACTTTTTAGAAGCACAATGATTAAAGCTTAAATTGCACCAAACAGACAAGAGAAAATTAAATTTTAATTCCCTTGCCAGGATCCACCTCTAGCTGCAACTAGATGGCAAATCGGTTAACATGTCCAACAACTTTACACACACTTTGCATTTTGCATTCCTTTCAATTTTGGGATCCTTAGTCAACCAGTTACAATATTTGGGATTAGCAAGTCAAGCAGATGAAAAACTGCATTTCCCCATTGTGAGCGTAGTAAATTCCAAGGTAGCCTATATCAATATTTCTTGCTGGAGATTAGTCAAGCATGCACCCCCCAGACACCCTGATCCTTTGGTTGGCGTCATTGCCTTTCAAAGTGCACCTCCAACGCCACATTCTGTCACTGACAGCAAGTTCACATTGGTGATTTCATCAAAAACTTCCAATAAGCAAATTTTCTGAATACCCAGTAGAGCGATTTGTTGTCTCTCAAACTGAGAAAACCCTCCAAAAAGGACAAAGCTGCATGAATTTAGTGGGTAGTTAGCAAAGTTACAAGTTGAGCTATACTGGCTGATCAAATAAACCATAACTACTAGAGTATATAATAGTGATATGGGCCACTTGGGCCAGCTGAAAGTCAAGGCTACTTAAGCTCAAGACAGAAGTCAAGGCTACTTTTGTTGCTTTGCAATTGAAGACTGAACCCAAAGACAAAGGCAAAAGCAAATAATGCATCAATGTTTGTTTTAAAAGGAATTCAAAAAGAGCGCTGGACAGCACTTGTGCCTCACATGAGGAACTTAAACTCACCCCCTCCGTGAGCTCCAGTGCCTCCCTGCAGGAGGAGCCAGGTGTGGGTGAGAGGAAGCCTGCACTGTCCACAAACCAGCGACTGGGACGTACCTCTTCCAAAGAGTCAAGCTCAGTTTTTGGAGTCAATGTCCCAAGAAGCTGACTGGTGGAGGCAATTTCAGGGGAACGATTCTCCCCAGCTCTGACACTTGAGGTAGATGAAGGTGAGGCCTCCTAAAGAGACAGAAACACTTTACTGAAACTGGCCAGTGCTCCTTTCTCTTGGACATCACCTATCCCTCAATAATGTTAATGTTCAGGTGAAGGTTTGGCATCACCACTATAAAAGTATACGATAAAATGGCATGTCACTGTTATAAGTCTGCACACTACACATAAAAGAAAAGCTAAGTTGACCTCAGAAGGATGGTGGAGGCCAAGAATCTACAGATTACAAGAACGGTGACATCAGCAGCAAACTGATCCAAAACTTGGATCCAACCAGTATATATTCCAACTACTGCATGGGGCAGAACCCAAAAACAAAAACAGCATCACACAAGTCATATTAATCTGGAAAATACTGCACAACTTGTATAAGCATAAAATAAAATCTGTCATGACACTATTTACTATGACACCAAACAGGTTCAATCTACAGACCGACCAGCATATAACTAAACAGGTGCCAAAGTATTCAAACGTTGAGAACATACCAATTAGCTCAGCCAGCAGATCTCATGAAAACGATCACGTGCAGTGATTCTGAGCTAGTGTATAATCTGGCTGCATCTTTGAGCCTTGCTCTTGCCTCGTCCAGTTAGGTCAAGTCATCTTTATTTATACAGAGCATTTAAAAGGCAATTAGTGTCAAAGTGCTGCACAGTAAAATCAGCTAATGTAAGAAACTAAAACGGAGAAAATGTAAGTAATGTAAAACTGAAAGTAATGTAATGACGAGATCAAACAAAAAATATAAATATAAAATTATGAGTAAAAGCCAAAGCGATAACTAAATTAAAACAGAAGACAAATTAATGACTACCAGATTAAAAAGGAGAAAAACACAACCAAGTGACAGCAAGACAGAATAAACCAAGACAAAACAGAGAGCCAACTACAGTCTTTAACGTGACTAAGATGCCTGGGAAAATAAATAGGATTTTAAATTTAACTTAAAAATATCAATTATACGACAATTTTTGGCAGGAAGACTGTTCCAAAGTTTTAGAGCAGCTACTGCGAATGCCCGGTCACCTTTAAACTTCAGTGGAGACCGTGGAACATCTGAAAACATTTAATCAGAGGATAGTAGGGTTCAAGCAATAAAACGGTGACTGATAAGGTCAGAAATATACAGTTGTGACCAAAGGTTTTGAGAATGACATAAGTATTGGTTTTCACCAAGTTTGCTGCTTCAGTGTTTATAGAACTTTTGCCAGATGTTTCTATAGTATAGTGAAGTATAATTACAGGCATTTCATAAGTGTCAAAGGCTTTTGTGGACAATTACATTAAGTCTATGCAAAGAGTCAATATTTGAAGTGTTGGCCCTTCTTTTTCAGGACCTCTGCAGTTCACCCTGGCGTGCTGTCAATCAAGTACTGGGCCAAATCCTGACTGATGGCAGCTCATTCTTGCATAATCAATGCTTGGAGTTTGTCAGAATTTGTGGGTTTTTGTTTGTCCACTTGCCTCTTGAGGATTGACCACAAGTTCTCAATGGGATTAAGGTCTGGGGAGTTTCCTGACCATGCACCCAAAATGTCAATGTTTTGTTCCCCGAGCCACTTAGTTATCACTTTGACCTTATGTCACAGTGCTCCATCATGCTGGAAAAGGCATTGCTCATCACCAAACTGTTTCTGGATGATTGGGAGAAGTTACTCTCAGAGGATTTTTTGGTACCATTCTTTCTTCATGCCTGTGTGAGTGAGTCCTCTCCCTTGGCTGAGAAGCAACCCCACACATGGATGGTCTCAGGATGCTCTACTGCTGGCGTGACACAGGACTGATAGTAGTGCTCACCTTTTCTTCTCTGGAAAATCTTTTTTCCAGATGCCCCAAACAATCTGAAAGGGGATTCATCAGAGAAAATGACTTTACCCCAGTACTCAGCAGTCCAATCCCTATACCTTCTGCAGAATATCAGTCTGTCGCTGATGTTTTTCTTGGAGATAAGTGGCTTCTTTGCTACCCTTCTTGACAACAGGCCATCCTCCAAAAGCCTTCGCCTCACAGTGCGTGCAAATGCACTCACACCTGCCTGCTGCCATTCCTGAACAAGCTATGCACTGGTGGTGCCCCGATCCAGCAGCTGAATCAACTGTAGGAGACGGTCTTGGCGCTTGCTGTACTTTCTTGGGCGCCTGAAGCTTTCTTCACAACAATTGAACCTCAACTCCGTAAAGTTCTTGATGATTCGATAAATGGTTGATTTAGGTGCAATCTTACTAGCAGCAATATCCTTGCCTGTGATGGCCTTTTTGTGCAAAGCGATGATGACTGCACATGTTTCCTTGCAGGTAACCATGGCTAACAGAGGAAGAACAATGATTTCAAGCACCAGCCTCTGTTTAAAGAATCCAGTCTGCTATTCTAACTCAATCAGCATGACAGTGATCTCCAGCCTTGTCCTCGTAAACACTCTCACCTATGTTTACGAGAGAATCACTGAAATGATGTCAGCAGGTCATTTTGAGGCCAGGCTGAAATTCAGTGGAAATGGGTTTTTTGGGATTAAGTTCATTTTCATGGCAAGAGGGACTTTGCAATTAATTGCAATTCATCTGATCATAACTGGAGTATACGCAAACTGGCATCATAAAAATGGCAACAGACTTTGTGAAAATTAATATTTGTCAATCTTAAAATTTTGGCACGGCAGTAGCTTGGTAACATGTCAGGATGACCTTTAAAAACAAATAAAACTTTAAATTCAACTCTATTTGGCCGGCAAAGCACAGTAGCGATGGCCCTACACGGGGGAGCGATGGCCCTACACGGGGGAGCGATGGCCCTACACGGGGGAGCGATGGCCCTACACGGGGGAGCGATGGCCCTACACGGGAGAGCGATGGCCCTACACGGGAGAGCGATGGCCCTACATGGGAGCGATGCTCTCTCTTTTCTTGGTACCTGTCAGTCTTGCAGCCGCATTCTGGAAAAACAGCAGGTGTGACAAGCATGACTTACAGATTCCCAAGCAGAAAGTGTTACAGCAGTCAACACGAGATGACTTCATGTTGTCAAAGAAATATGAATTCTATGTCCATTTTAGTACCAGTTTACAGAGGAAGTTGATCTGTAAGACCTGCTGAGAGAGAAAATATCATTGCTAAACATGCCCTACATTTTTACCTGCTCCTCAGTGTCTGGTACAGGGTCAGCATCCAGGACAACATCACAGTGGAACTCCATCTACAAAGAACAGAAGCACAAATCTGCTACACAGGTACATGGCAGTAAACGCATGTGGAATCACCCATAAGTGCTAAGATGTGACAGCACTGTAACCAGGCATCAGGGGTATTTCAAAATAAGTACAAGGTCAGTGACTGAGAAACACAGGTTTATTTCTCAACACTGAATTGCATATTTTCCTTTGTTTCTCCATGCTAATAGACATTTTATACGCTGAGAAAAATTCAAAGAGGACTTTTACATTATTCATACTGAATTCAGTTCACTGATTTTAAAACTTGGATCTAAATGTTACATTACACAAGGGTTAAATTCAAGGATTTTGAAATGTTTCAGAATTAATCCGGCTAGCCCTTATATACAGTAAGGCTTTATATAGAGTCTAGGCTAATGGATCTGGCTAATGTACTTCTCTCATCATTCTCTGCTTCTTGGGGACCAGCTACAACAAGTAAAGTTAGCACCCAACACTATACAGCTGCTGAATACTCAGCTACAAAACAGCCAATGTGACCCTCAATTATTCAGGATGAATATGGTATATTCGTGGTATACACCATATTCGTATGAATAAAAGACAGGGGTTTTTCTGGAAAATGTCACTTGAATATTACCATATTCCAGTAATTTCAGAAATCATCAACTGATCATTTTTAAAGTACTGTAACTGTAGCTTGTTGAATGAAGTAGCTCAGGAGACGAAACATGACTTAGCATGCACTGTTACAAAGCACACCAAACACAGAAAATGAGAACATCGGCCTTCTGAACAATGATGAGCATCTTGCATGTCGGTAAAATAACATCTTTAATGTTTTATATGTTTTATGGCGTGGTTGTTATGATTAGGCAAACAGAAAAACACATAATTTCCACGTAAAGTTGTTTATCCCCACAAAATATTCACGGAATTCTTTTGGCCTCAGCTCATATTAAGGCAAATATGGTTGTTCCGACTAGACGCACTCGCAATTGCTACCAAAAGGAGGATTCAGATTTTGCATTAGCCTACTGAAATTCAAAGAGAGTGGTTAACTTTTGTAAAACCCTACAACTTCATATTATGACTGTTATAGCTGCATGTAAAAAATCACGACAACCCATTTATTTCCAAAATACAAAGTTTTTCATTTTTCCTGGATGACCGGGAACCCTGCAGAACAAAAGTAAATGCAAATACAAAGATCAAGACCCAACCTGCTTATTGTGGTTGCAGTAAGTAGTGACTTCTCCGTGCTCCAGCTGGATTGGCAATGACAACGGGATGTCGTCTTCCTTGGCATAGAAACCCATCTCCACCTTACGTTTTATTGTGGAGTTCCAGTGGTTCTTTATTGCATTGTCTGTCCTGTTAGAATCAAAACATAAATCACTTTAAATACCATCCCAAGGTCATTATTCAAAGAACAGTTCAAAGCAGATTAAGCTTCATATAACGTAAATACAGAGAGAGCTTTAAGTAGGTGATTTATTAGAAAAAATGTGCTAGTTCTCTTGTGAATGAGACTAAACAGAAAACTGTAAATGAAAAACACACATGACAGGTTACAGTTACACACACTAGCCTAAGATTTGTGCCTAGAAACCAGGGTTGGGGCCACTCCGGAATACAATGATCAATTCCAGTCTAAATCAGGAAATGGAACTGGAGCTGGGATTGGGATAAAAAACTACGGGGAACAGAATTGGAGTTGAATTTGAATTTCCAACTCCAGTTCCATTTCCTGATTTGGACTGGAATTGATCAATGCATTCCGGAATGGCCCCAACCCTGCTAGAAACTGGTGCAAGTGAAAGGAGCTTGATGCATGTTTTACCTAAAATGGCAGAGTGGTGAAAATATTAACATGAAGATAAAGAATATAACGTGTCATCAGGTTCACTTTCAGTGCAGTGTGCCAGAATGCCTTTACAGTGCACTCTGAAGTAGGAATAAGAGCTTACCTCCCAGGCAAGAGTTTGGCAATTTCAGCCCAGCGGTTTCCCAGGACACACTGAGCCTTGTAGATGATGAGATCCTCTTCTGCAGTCCAGGAAGACTTTTTCACGTCGGGATTAAGGTGATTGTGCCAGCGTTCACGACACTGCTTGCCCAATCGGCCTTTTAGATATCTAGCCACCAAAGTCCACTGTCTGGTGCCATACTTCTTTACCAGCTCAATGACCTGTGGGGCCAAGTGAATGCAAGATAAGTCAGATGGCCTTAGGTTTTATTTGTGTGACCATAAGATACCCTTGGGAATTTCCAAGCATTCCCTTAAAGATCACCTTTTCATCCTCCTCCTTTGTCCACGGGCCTTTGACCAAGTCTGGATTCAAAACCTTCAACCACCGGTGCTGACACTGGTACTCCGTGCGTCCCTTCCAAGCAATAAAGCACAGTTTACAAAAATAGATGCAGTGAAAGGACACTTACAGTGTGAAAGCCGTCTAGAGTGAAGAAACAACTTACTGGCAAAAAACTGGCAATGCATTTCCAGTCATTCTGCCCAAAATTCTGAATCAGAGTCTTCAGACTTTCATCCTGAAGCAGAAAAACAAAATAACTGAATAAAGGTAGAAAGACATGGTATTTTAATTAAGAGAAAGAAAATGTCTTACTGAATACTTTCATCAAAATAAGCAAGTATAAAAACAGATCAAAAGCAGATACTTCTGGTAGGTAAACTGACATTTGAAAACTGAACACTCACATAGAATCTCATATCCAATTTGGGCTGGGTGATACATGATAGACAGTTGGCCCTACCTATTGAAAATATTCCAAAAAAAAAATCTGTTTAAAAAAGTTTAAAAAAGCAAATCTTGAATGTGCCACACAATGATATAGTACAACAATTACAACCTCTCCCCAGGTTACGATGGGGTTAAATTCCAATAAACCTATTGTAAGGCGAAAATGCATTTTAATACAGTACACCTAAGCTAACAAACATCATAGCCTAGCCTACCTTAAACACGCTTCTAAAGAACACTTATATTAGCCTATAGTTGTGCAAAATCATTAACTCAAAGGCCATTTTATAATAAAATTTATCGTATATGTACTGAAAGTGAAAAATGTTTACCCATCATAAAGTTGAAATATTGTAACATGGATCATGGTAACCCAGGACATGTCTGTATTTACATAGCATTGACATTGTACTGGGTACTGTACATAATCAAGAGATGTTATAAAGTATACAGGGGTGTGTGCACAGGTTATATATAAATTGGCATGGTATTTTGCATAAGGGACTTGAACATTTGTGGATTTTGGTATCCACAGGGGGTCCTGGAACCAATTCCCCATGGATACTTATCAAAATATTAATCTCCAGCAATATGAAAATGAGAAACTTTGATTAACTATCAATACAGAGCCAGCTTATCCCATCAGAGAAACAAATGTAATTCCACTAATAATTTGGACATGCCCAACAAAAGCACTGGAAGCAGCACCACATGCTACAGTTCTGGGTGTACAGATGATTCATAGAATATATAGTGCTCACAGAAGGTCTGGGGAGGCTTGATTAATTCAGTAAAAATGTTTTAGATTTATTGATTTAATAAGAATACTGATTTATAACAAGAACTTCATTCATTTGACTGTTCACAAAAATTTAATATTGGAAACAACCAATAATTTTTGCTAAAACATTCATTTCAAGTGGTAATAAATTGAAAACCAAATTATAGTTCTAAACAAGCTTGCAAAAAGGGTTGAGATGCAGCTGTTTTGAGTCAAAAAGTTCACGGACAAGCAGTCTAATCTAGTGCTTTTCAATTAGTAACATCTCTGCAATTACATAAAATACCAAACAATTGAATTCAGTATCCCTTTTGAAGCCAATAACTCAATAAAAAGAAAATGTCTGCGTGGAAGATTGCAGATGCATTATATGGACAAAATTATCAGGACACATCTCTTAATCATTGAATTCAGGCGTTTCATTCAGACCAATTAACACAAGTATATAAAATCAAGCACCTAGCCATACAGTCAAGTTTACAAACATTTGTGAAAGAATGGGTCCTTCTGAAGAGCTCAGTGAATTCAAGCATGCTACTGTCATACAATGCCACCTTTGCAATAAGTCAGTTTGTGAAATATCATCAGCAAAAAGAACCTAAAGGCAAGCCTTTGGTTAGCAAAAAATCATATTGAAAAGCCCATTTCATTCTGGGAAAAGATTCCATGGTCTGACGATACAACAGGTTTCAGTCAGAGGGAAAGGTAAGTGAAAGGGACATCTGGACATCCTGAAAGCACCACATCTTCTGTGATGAATGGTGGTGGAGGCGGCTTGAAAGCATGGACATGCCGGCAGCTTCAGGAACCGGGCTCATAGTATTTATTGATGACATCAATAAAATGATGAGTTCAGAAACCTACAGAAAAATAATGCCTGTATATGCCCAAAAATGGTTCTACACTACTGGGTCGTGGGCTTATCATGCAAGCTAATAATGACCCAAAACACTGGAGTGGCCATGACCAAGCCCTGACATAAATCCAACAGAACATGTTTTGCTTTCTGAAGAGGAAACACCACAATAAAAGAAAATGTAGAACAAGGCTGGATGGGCTGGATGCTGAAACTATCAGCAAACGTGTGCACTCCATGCTAAGAAATTATGGCTATTGTTAAAAGTAATGGACATACAACAGATAATTAACTATTTTTCTTTAAAAAAAAAAAAGTTTAAACCTGACCCAACACTTTTTGGTGAGCTTTACAGGAAGTACAATTTGATTTTCAATTTATAACTATGCAATGCTTTAATTAAACCTACTGGTTGTTTCTAATGTGATAAATATTTTTGTAAACAATCGAATGGATAAAATATCTGTTATAAAACCTATACATTTTGAACATTTTTACTGAATTAAACAAGGGTCCCAAGACTTTCTGTGAGCACTGCAAGAACGCTTCCTAAGAAGAAACGTAAAGTGTCAGTGAAAAAGCAACAGTTCAGCAACCACATCATCTTTCTAAAAAGGGGGGTATTGCGGAAAAACCAAGAACAGAGACAGTGGTGGTATCACGGTACTTTGGCTATTTCGTCTCAAACGCAACAGTCTGGTGCTGTGTACTGCACTGTGTGCCAGCTAAAACTGGAAACTTATTTCACCACTCGAAGCGCTGCCATCCACAACACACAGAATACAAGTGCTTACAATCACATATTCAATGTCAAACTTGCCCCCTGGAAGCAGCAGAGAGGCAGTCAGAAAAAAAAGCGCAGCCGCTAACCGTACTGTCAGCATTTTCTAATGTTACAGACAAAAAAATAAATAAAAAATAAAGTTTACTTTGATGTATTGGAACTAGATTCTATTTTGCGAGTCCATTCAATAATTTGTGTTCATATTTTAAGTAATATACTTAAGGGGAATCCAAAGAGAACTTTTAAGCAAAACTGGACCCTTGAAGTAAGAAATATGGACTTGAATAATATTGTAGTAATTATCAATATTGACTAATATAAAAGAATTATTGTGGTGAAATGTTTCCTTATCTACCAGTCCTATACCTGATACAGAAATGAGAAAATGCAGCTGAAAAGTCAATGAAACTAATCAAATTTTAAATTTTAAACAATAGAAAAAAAAGTGAAAGAGAAAAAGAGAAGAAAAGTGTTTTTCTGTGAACTAATGAAATTGAAAGGAGCTGTGTAACTCACCTCCTCAGGGGTCCACTTTACCTTTAATTTCCCACATTCTCGTTGTTCAGCCACATCAGAGTCAGTATCCTGTATCTCCTCACCATCCTCACTGAAATGCAGAAGGTAGGCCTCCTGAATGTCAAGTGAACTGAAAACTCAAATCAACCACCAAAATGAAATATTTCGTTATTAACAATAATCATAGTTCACTGACAGATGATTAGAAATGTTAGGAAATTACATTAAGGTTACACCAGTGATCTCTCAGATGCTAAGCAATACATTACTCCTGTAGTGGCCTTTGCAGCTGCCTCCGGCGCCACACCCACGGACTGTTGCAAGTTTAGGAGTGGCTCAAACCAGGAGTCAGATGTCTTGACATCTAACTACAAAAGTCTCAAAAATTAATTTGCAACCTGACAGTGCAAATTCCTTATAGTGGGATTTATTATTCATTACTCTATAAACCGGCGCATTCTGTATTTATAAATCGTTCCCTTGCAACGAGATCTTACACAAACGAGAACGAGTAAGCTAGTAAGTTTTGATGATCCAAATGAATAATAGGTAACAGAACGAAACCAGTATTACCTTTCAATGTCCTAAAGACGGCTTAGATATTTTTGTCAGCATATGCGACCTTGTCTTTTTAGAAAAGTAAATTATACAGGTCAAGGCTGCTGTTAAAAATAACAATCGATATCCATGATACCATTTCATACACCCTTGCAGTTGGTAACCTGTTCAGTAAGTTATTTTTAGACGGCTATGTAACCGTTGCACTTTAATGTTTTAACTATGTGCAGTTGGTGCATACATATCCGGTGCACGTTTACTGAAGACGAGTGTGCGCGTACCAACAGTGTAACGGATTTAAAACGAAGTACGACCCGCTCGTACTCGGATATGTGTAAAGAAAAATTAGCAACATTACGACATTGTGAGGTTTTTACGATTCGCTGAGTGGTTAATTCCCCACGACAAAACAACGAACAAGGCGCGTGGCAAACGATGTAACTCGCGAATCCATCCATCAAAACAAACCGATTACAGCTAACAGGCCAGCTGCGCGAGGTAGTAAACAAACTCCTCTGTAACTGCAAATGTTTAGGGAGATAAATGCACAATTATTCTAAGTTTTCAATATAAAATCTTATTACATTTCTTCATATGGTAGCCATAGTCACACCTAAAGTATCGTAAACACGACGCTAACAATAGGGTCCGGTGTGCTTACCCGCGCGGCCACCAGGACATTTCCCTGTTGCGATGTCCGAATGTCCAGAAAAAGTCCAAATAATACAAATACGGACGCCTCTGCAGGCGTAAAGCACAGAGTGGTCGCACGGAGCGTAAGACTCGCTAGTCGACTGTAAATCGATGGACAAATATGTTGACGTTTTGCCCCAGAAATTCCAGATTATCAAGCCGTAGCTTGGACGTTTCAATTTCTATCTCGCGCCTAGAGTCTCTCGCAGGTTTTCCCGGGAGTGACGCGCGCGCCTGGGAAGAGGAAGTTGTTCGTATAACTCCCTCGGTGGTATGAAACTGCGCCTGCGCAAGGGCAGCTTCAACTGAACGATCCCCTAGCGCGGGAAAGTCGGGGTCACGTATATTACGTCGTGCCCGGCAAAAAAGTTACAAGTCCGATATTTTTAGTTCTGTGAGCATAGTGTTGCGTATATCTTTATCTGATTACTGCAGTTAATTACGTTGATGACAAAGCACTGAATTATACTATACAAGTACTTGTAACCGGTTACAGGTGTTTGTTCTGGGGGCTATGTGCATGCTCAGTTTTACGATAGAAAGTCTCTCCAAACCTTAAATGTATGTCGCTGATTTGATTGTGCGTGTTGGAACATAGTGGAGATGTATGCAGATGCCCAATATTCTGTGAATTTTGCATAATATCCATATATGTTAGGGGATTTCCACCACAAATATTGGTTGTCATTGTATATTGTTTCACTTATATAGGTTACTATCAAGTCCACACTTGCATCTTTCATCACTGTCAGTTGGTGTACTGTGTTTTTTTTCCTGCTCGGTCTGTTTGGCCGTTATTTCTCCACACCCTCCTGTGTGTGTGATAAGAATTACTCAACGGTTTGACTGTGCTGATTAACCTCATCCCTATTCTTAAGTTTGTGGGTGCCACTGAATAAAGGTACTGATTATGACATATACCAGGGTTGTGCACCATTCAGAACTGATTTCAGAATGGCCCTGAAATTGCAAATCAATTCCTGAATTTGAATTGCAGAATTTTAAGGAAGTATAATTCAAATGGAACTGAATTCAAATACATCCATACACATAGCATGGGTGCAGCTTTTAATAATCCAGCTTTATAATTCAATATAAATTGCATATAAATGTTAACATACACAGCATATACTGTTATAAAAATGTTCTGTTATTCAGAATGAAAGAACATTTGAAGTGTCACTTATAGACCAAATCATTTTTTGTACCGTGGTAGATGCACAATTCCTAGAATGCTTTCTTATCCCAAAATCCTCAAAATGTAGCCAAACCATCTGAAAGCATTCACTCCCAAAATGGAAAATTCATACAGCAAACCTACAAAGCTGTTTGTCCTTGCCCATTTTGGTGAACATCTCCCACAACCACACTTGGAAATCTCAGAGCTGTAGGCAAGCACTACAATACAGCAGTCTGTGGTTCCAGCAGTGCCACTTCAGATCTCAAAAGACATTTTACAGGTAGGTTAACCTACCCATTGCAGTTCATGTCCACTTTAAGTATTTGACGTCATCATACTACTGGTATGTGATATCCTAGCCCTGCAGTAACTGCAGGTGTAAAAATGCAGTGTTTCTGCATAGTTTTATCTGAAGGATGTTCATTTCTACTAATCTGACATTTATGGATTTCTCTGTATTTTCCCCAATACTGTTGTGTGGCTCTGCAGGTTCTGTTCTGGTGTCATTTTTTTGCGCTTTCTTTTTATAAGTAATTGCTGTATAAATAAATGTTTGCTATATGTTTATGCAGTAAAATAAAGTATACTGTCTGTATTATTTATCTTCATACAGAAATATTTACTGCCCTACCAAAGAAACGTCCCAAACTCTTCTCATACATGGAAGTCAAAATAGTCCCTCGTGTGTCGTTAAAGTTTCACATGATGGTACCATATACCTCATTGGGAAAAAACTTTTGAAGATCTTTTGCTGATTAAATGTAATGATATTGAACAATGAATCGTGCACTGGAATAAACTGCATTTGCCATGTTTTGTTTTTCTGTAGTACTAAGGTTGAAGTGAAAGATAAAACTTATTTTCCTATACATAAGAAAATAAAAAGGAGCAATTGCATGAGTCATTCTATTTTTGCCATGTATACATTTATTTTCTTTTAATGTTAAAATATAAACAAACTGTTAAGCAGCAAAGAATAAGAGATATTTGACACTTTACTCAAATGCTAGGTATGTGGGGTTACAGTTATGTAAGTAACCCTATCCCCACTCCATCCACCCACAGACATTAACAAGAACAGCTACTGCAGATTCCTCAAAAATGCCAACAAACATAAACAGTTAACTATGCAAAAACAATAAGTATGTTTATTACAGGGCCAACATAAACCAACTGTATATTGAACCAATAGTCTGAATGAAAATCCATTAAATAATTATGTTTTATTAGATTAAATAATTATTATAGATTAGATTAAATTATATTCTTGTGTTGTGTGATTGCATTGAATTTCTTTGATTGTTCTTCCTGTCATTCAAATTCCAATTCAACATCCTGAGTGTTAGGTCAATTAATTTCAAATTCCAATTCATAAATGGAACGGGACACAGTTCATAAAATTCTGAATTTTGCATGACCCTGATGTATATTAAATATGACATTTTCCATACCCCAGTCATCTGTTAAGCTCTGTCCCTTTATGACATCACAACTTGTTAAACTATACTGCCTGGTAATCTTGTATATGTTAATTATCCCTGAACCCCCAGGTATTGTTCATCTAATCCAGGACTTTGTTAGAATTATGTCAGATGCAATGCCTGTCAAAAGGCTTGAAATAAAGTCATAAAGTCTTTGACGTTTTGAAAACCAAGTTTGTGGGCAGGTACCATTTCAAAACCACACACAAGACACAAAAACACACAGATATTAAATGTTCTTGAAACTTTATGTAACTATTATACATTCAAATATGTCCACTTTGTCCAGCTAACCGTGTTTACTGCCACTGAGATGTGAGCTGTGAATGTCACGGCGGGACAACTCGTTGATGATTTGTAGAGTCATGGGTAAATAGGATGGCGGAGGGGATTATGAGATGCAATCTCACAGAGGAAGCTCACTCATTGGCCAGATTACCCCGACTGCAAGTTTAAAGATGTGTTATTCACAGTCAATGTAGGCACATTACTGGCAGACTGGATAATTCATTTATATGTTACATTTTTACAAAAAACTGGGTAGGCATCCACCTACCTAAATTGATTGGAACAATGTCGCTGATACAGAGCTACCGAGATTTTGTTGACAAAAGCACCAGCTCTGCTGAGAAAATAAACAAGTTCTTCAAAGATTCTACTATACTGGACAAATGACATGAACGCCTGTGCTGTTAGTGATCTGTCAGTCTGAATATAACCTGCCACTTCCTGCAAAATTCTTCAAAAAGTCCAATATTTAATTTCAAATAAATTAACAATATTGATTTTGGAATTTTGTGAATCATAAAACTGATATTTTTACTAGCACTATTCCTGGATGTGACATGTGTCAATGAATGAGATCTTCACCAGACGAAACAGCCAAATACCTATTACCTGCTGAGTTTCAAAGCTTCAGTTGCACAGACATTGATCAACACAGGGTCCATGCAAAAGCCCAGTCAATGATGGTCAAGCTTCTCCTTCGCTCCCAAGACAAGAAATCAAACTTAAAACCCTCTATTGAGCTTGATATCACACCCAGGAACAGTGGATAAGAAGTGCTGTCAAGCTGTCACCCTGAAATGTGTCTAAAGAAAACAAAATACCCCTATGTCCAACATCAGGTCGTTCTCTGCCCTGACTGTTTTGAAGGTTTTCATACCAAAAAATAAAGGGAAAAATATCAGTACTCTAGGCCTTTCGCAGTTTTCACATTAAAAATTAAAGGCTAACCTTATTCGTTGTTCTTCATAAATTGTTCATGCTAAGACTACCGTTAATTCTGAAGAATTCAGCTACCTTGCATTTATGACTTTAATGTTAGTTCAATTTTAATGCTGTAGGCCAGTCTAAATTGCTGTATTCACAGTTCATTAATTGTTTTAGTATTCATTTTAAATTAAATATTCCGATGATGCATCTTAAAGTATTTTAAGTGTTTTGCTTTTGATTTTTTTTTTACTTAAAAGATGAACAAGAAAAGATTCTGATTACTTTATCTATGCCTAAGGGGAATTTTTGTGTTGCAGTAACCACACAGGAACACACAGTCACAAGGCTGGTATAATGGTAGACACAGAACCAAATTACACTAAATGTACAAATATGCAAAAAATACCTGTGTGCAAAATAAATGTAAATGTGCATTGTACATTATGGACTGCCTCAGAAAAGGAGACTCCTTTTCCTGTACAGAGATCTGCGGCAGTGTGGAGAGAAGGCTAAATTGGAAGAAAACTTTTGCATTTCTAAACGACAACATATTAGTGCGGACGTAGCCTTACGATAAGACTTCATAAATGGTTGTTGAAGATGGGTTGACTGACTACTACTCAGAAATGTCTCCTCTCTACAGTGCTGTTTTTCGTGGAGACAAACATCTAGTGGTAACATCTGATCTGGGATGGTTAACGACCCAAAATTACATTTCATTCCATGAAACTGGAATCTTTGATAAGCAGGTAGTGAGTTCAATGGATCTGCTGTTCATTGTGTTTTCCAGGCAAATTGAGAACTGGACTACTTTATTTTCATGGGTATGGGATTAGGGGGGGAGATCAGGTTCCTGTTTAACACCATTTCAGTTGTAGTTTTGTTCACTGTCCAGTCCAGACTGTTTCTTGTGGCATTCTCGATCCGTCTTCCAAACATTTATGCAGTACCAATTCCCTGTGAACCCAGACCACAAGGAAGGGAAACCCTCTGTGCTAGGGGTCAATCCAGCACAGAGTACCGGTACTGTACATACACTTGCAATCAGATGAGCAGTGAGCAGTTTACTCGACACACAGAGCAGTGGTGGGATTTGAACCCCCAACTTTGGAATTATTAGGTGCTACCTATTGAACCATCATGTCTTCTTCTCACAGTGGTATTATTAAAACATCACCTGTCGGTGGCAGGGACAGGCTTTAGATTACTATAACAGTCTGATTTTCAGACTTGATGGATTAGTAAATGGAATAAAAATTAAAATGATGAGAGGGTTTTATGACAGGGGCAGTGCCCCCTTGACAACATGCATGCCTCTCCTGTCTGCCCTCCCAATACGCATACTACTTGGGTCTGAAATAAATGCGTTACTATTATTTTTATTTACATTTATATTTGTGACAGTGGCTGGGGTCTTTCAAACAAGATAAGCTGGTTAATACCCCACCACCACCTAGTTTGAAATAAACTTTACTAACCTACTAACAAACAAACCTTACTAACGAAGGAAGGACCCAACCCAATAACGCAATGGGTTTTTTACAGTAGGATATGTACAAATCAAAATTGGAAGAATGAAAAGACTTCACTTGCCTTTGCTGGAGACTGTAGCTATTCCACTCAAACAGCACTGGTACAGCTCCTTTCGCCACTCGCGTCCTTCCGTTTTCTTTGACGGGTTTGACAAGTTGATGTGGAGTAAAATGCCTGCTACAAACCTTAGTGTTTACCGTTATGTGGAACTTGTCACGGCAGATGTTTATAAGCCATTTCTTTCTTAGCTCCGCATCAGCCGGGAAGCGGTGAAAGGTCAAAATCCCATTAAATTTCGAGGATGCTGAGCACTGGGGGACGCAGCAGTGATCAGATCGTCTTTTCTGTTGCTTTTGGTAAATAAAGCTTTTAAAAACTTTCGGACGTTTACTGTTATTCATTTTAAATTCCTCGCGTAGCCGCCAACACAGCTGATCGCAGCCAGACCGGAAATGCTGGAGCCGCTATCTCTTTAAACGGAAGTACGTCACCCTGATCAGTACAGGCAGAGCGGTAGAAACATGGCGGAGTGTTTGAAGAGTGTGAAAAAGGTGCAAATGAGTGCCATTGTAAGAGTGATGCGGGGTACGGGCGCTCGGGCAGGTATGTCTTTCAACCTACCCCAAACAACTAAAGGTCCGAGACCTACAATACAGTAAGGCTCCATTGTAATAAAATGGCGGAGGCGACTGACCATTTGTTTTGTACTCGCATAAGTGTCGATAAGTTTTTTTTTTTTTTTAATTATTATTATTATTGTTATTATTAAACATTCCCTCTACTGGTTATGTAATACCTAGCAGGTTGGAATGTTGAATACACTTAAAGCTACAAACAAGATACAGCCAGGGGTATATGCACAGATAGAGAAAGGAGGAAAATTAATCATACAGGTAAGTTCAAGGCTGAATATGCATCCAGTGTCTTAACAGCTTTTTATTTTTTAATCCATGCAAGGTCTGGAAATAAAGTCCCATTTCTATTTTAAAGTCCTGGATCCTTGGTTCCTTCTTTGCCCATTTACACTTACGAATAAAATATTTCCCATGTAAAATATAAATTTCCTATTACATTCAATATCAGTCTTTCCATAAAAGAAATAACATCCTTCTTTTCCAATTTATTTTTTTTCCAGCATAAAACACATTAAATAAATGTTCAACTTCCAACTAAAAAAATGGACATACATACAATCGTAAAATATGGTGATGAATACACTCAGCACTGTACTTACAGAAAATACAATGTTCATCAGCTCCAACTTTAAATCTGTAATATCTGGTTTGATGGATAAATGAAATGGAAAACTTGAAGGACACCTTAAAGATTCCCTTCATTGGTGACATGAAATCTGTTATTATGATTCCAAGCAAGCTTCCAATTGACACTAAACCAAATTCATTAATCAATCTTTTTTGAACATACCCCAACACATTTTTCTGAACAGTTTATTAAAGCATCTTTTATTTTTAATATGCACACCATCAAGCATAAGATTTATATTGTTAAAATCACAATCAACAGGATCATAACCCTGCAACAAATTCAATACACCTGACAGTATAGCCTTAGTAATAGTTGCCCGCTCTTTTTCAGATATAAAAGTTCTATACTTCCTTATGAACTCTGTGTATGTGTACAAATTGCCATTTTCATTAAGAAGCTGATTCACCAATAACATTTTTTGGACCCATTTATCCACATATAAACTTTCGTTTTTATTCCAAATTATCTGTGTGGGGAAATGATATGTTTATATATAATCAACCAGGATAACAATACTTTTGTTTGTGGAAATTGGACAATTTGACTGGAATTTTTTGCACATCATAATTACAACCGAGAAGAAACTCAGTTCCACCAGACCTGTTAAAAATATAATTTGGGATATAAAACCACAACTTATTTGCATTTTGGATATAATTTTTGATCCACTTAGTTTTAAAAATAATATTATATGTTCCAAAGTCAATCATCTCTAAGCCTCCATCCATAGGACTTACATAACACTAAATTTCATAAATAATGGTGCTTATTTTCCCCCAAAAAATTGAAAAGATCCTTATCAGTATGGTTAATTATCACTTTTGATACATCCAACACCATAGCATAATAAATGAGTCCTGACAAACCTTCACTCTTTGATAATAAGACTCGGCCAGTTAATAAATCTGGCCAACTTCGTTGTCTTGGGGACGATTAATAGTTCCAAGCGTTGACATTGGTTTAAAATCACATTCATTTCCATTGTTTATGTTATAAGGCAAAGAATTACACTTGGCTCAGTCTTCTGCAACACATTTTATTTCTGGATTTCACCTGTTCGGGTGTGGAAGTACAAGTTATATTAGGAGCGCGCTCATCCTCGTATACAACCACGTATTGACGACCTCTAATTTACTGGCCTCAGCTGCTGATGCTCCAATGTACTTCCCAGAGCGCCCTCTGCTGGTTATGCTATACCTAGTAGGAATAAACTAACCACACCACAATTTAGGTAAATGACGAGAAATAACAATGTAATTATATTGTTTTATTGGGACCTCAGCTTACAACTTTAGGGGGGGGGGGGTAATGTTTTCCCTGGCTCAACCAACACCCAGTGCCACATTCTACCCCACAAAATTAAATGTCTCCTGACATTTAATTGGCAGTTAGTCAGTGTCCAACAGCTCTAACAGACCTCTACCTTTCAAGGTCTCCAAAAAGTCTTAGTCTCTGTTACCTTAAAGTCTTTTCGTACCAAAGACAGCTGGCCTAATGTGTTATAACTCAGTACAACAGGCTGCTTTCTCAGTCTCTGTGGTTGTCGCCTTACCCACTGTGGCAAGTCCTTCTCTGGGTCAGAGGTGTCAGCCTCCTCACTCTCCTGACTGAATGAGGTAAGTGCAGGTCTTTTGATCCTCTTTCGGCTGACTTTGTTGATTCTGCCTGGGCCAAAAGGGCTCACCATGTGAGTGCAACAATGATTGCTCCTGTGGATCTTCCCTGCTGGTGTCTTCATGCCACTGGTAAGTGACCCCATACTTCTCCTTGGAGTTGTTATCTGTCATTGGCTATTATATTCGGCTAATTCCACTACCCATCTATGTGCCATGGCATTGACCTTCACAGGTGTGAGCACATACATCAGTGGGTTGTTGTCAGTATACACCACAAACGATGAGGCATGGAACAAGTACTCACGAAAGCGCTCACAAGCAGCCCATTTCAAGGTTAAGAACTCCATCTTCCCAGAGTGGAGATGTTAGTTCTTCTCTGATGGACTGAGGGTGCGAGAACCATAACGTTCACTCTCATCTTTCCGTCTTGCTGCTGGTAGCTTGCCGCTCCCAGTCCTTCCTGAGATGCATCGCAGTGCAACACAAAGGGTTGTGTGATGTCAGGGTAGCCCAGGATTGGAGGTTTTATGAGAGCATCTATCAGCTAAAATATCTTGATGAATGCTAGTCCACTGTATTATAGTGCAAGATGGTAGATGTCCTTTCTTTGTCCTTACTGTTGCCTTAGGTTTCCTGAGGCTGGGATCCTCCTTAATAGTTTCACTACAAGGACTGGTCAATAGCTCGTACAATGGATGGGCAACACTAGAGAAGTGAGGAATGTAACACTGCTAGTAAGACAGGAACCCCAACATCTGTCGCAGGTCACCGACCGTGGCGGGTGTCTTCTCCTTTAAAGCCTTAACTGGTGCCATTTCTGCCGGGTCCATCGTGTACCCTTCCCCTGGCACCATCTTCCCAAGGAACCTCACTCTTCCTTCCCCTGGCACCATCTTCCCAAGGAACCTCACTCTTCCTTCCCCTGGCACCATCTTCCCAAGGAACCTCACTCTTCCTTGGAATAACTCACATTTCTTTGGGGTGAGCTTTACTCCGTGTTTTTGGTACTGCCGAAGCACCGCATGGACATGTTCAAGATGGCCTTCAAAACTGCTGCTGTACCAAGTTATTGTCTAAGTATGGTACGGTATGGTAAGCACATGGTGTCCCTCAATCCAGCTAGACAGTGTTTCATGCTACTTCGGAATTTCGCAGGGGCGGTACTCAGCCCAAACGGTATCCGCACCCATTGGTAGAGATCCCACGGAGTTATGAATGCTGTTAGTGGCTGGGTCTCTTCTTCAAGGAACCCCTGATGGTAAGTCTTGCCCTGATCCAGCACAGAGGACCATGAACTCCCACCCAGTGCATCTAGCATGTCTTGGATCCTGGGGATGGGGTGGTGGTCAAGAACTGACTTTTGATTCAGTAGTCACAGCACAGCCTTAAGCTGCCGTCCTTCTTCCTCACAGACAACTGGTGAAGAATATAGTGACCAAGATTGGGTGATCCACCCTCTGTTCAAAAAGTCCTGTAAATATTCTTTCACGTCCTTATGAAGAGGTTTTGGGACCAACATGTACGTCATCTGCGCTGGGCTGGTGTCATGAAGGTTTATGTGCATCTTGAGAGATGGAATGCAACCCACATCATCCTTGTTGAATGCAAAAATTCAGCCTGACATTGTTCTCTTAACATTTGCTTGGCAGTTTCCTATTAGGCCTCTGTTAGATGGTCCAGGTTCACTGGAGGGGGAACTTTAGGAAATGTTCCAGTTTATTCAAATTTTGAAAGTTATTTAGTTTATATAGCTATAGCGTACATCCAGTTGCTGGTCATTCAGTTGCTGAAATTATCCGTAAAGTAACTGGCTAATGTTATAATTTAAACATACAGATTATTTTACCTGAACATGATTATCTCTCAGCCTGAGATACAAGATATGCCATGTTTCACTAGCCAGCTAAAGTTAGCTCCCTAGGCTAAGGTTGACATATCAAACCAGCGACCTTGTTTTATCCTAAATCAGTGGAAAAGGTAACAAATTATAAAAATTCTCTGATAACGTAATACTATTACATGTTAAAAGCACAGAAGGTTTGTTAGGTTATCCAGACTTGTGTGATTTTCACCACTTTTAAACTTATTTTTGTTACGCTAGGCCTTACACCGAATCTCAAGGTAGTGTAAAATTTTCGTTATAACTTAGTGCTACGTTGAAGCTATTTGTGTGGTGCGACCTATTATTTTTTAGTAGTGCGTAAGCTCGAACGTAGGTGAAGGGTCTGGCTGCCGTACATGCACTCTCAGCCACTTGCACACGCTGCCACAAGGGGAAATGTATCCGTGTATCCGTGTATCGTGTATCCCTCTTGGAATGTATGGGCAGTTTACGTCCATCGAACTCACGCTTAGCTGGTGCAGCCCACTACAGAATCTTGCCTTACGTAAGGAATGCTAGAATAAAGGAGCTCTTCAACTCCAAATAAAACCGATAAACTGATTAAGCTGTCACTCCACATACCAGATTGGCATTAATATATATGCAGTACATGTAAAGGCAGTTTAAAATACACACAGATGGTTTTATATTTTAATTTCACCGTTTAATAATGCATTCGCTTCTATCTGGAACTATTGAAGCCTACATGAACCACGTGACTGCATGGCGGCAAGATCAATTGGTGTCGAAACTCTCGCAATGGTTCTGAGTGCAAGTAGCCTAATGCCAAAGACCATGGATATGATACACATAGATGCCACTTTGGTCACTTATGGTGTTTAGTCTCAAAACCCACGCACATACACATTCACCCGTACCTATGCGCTGGCGAGCAGAAAACCCATTCTCTCTATGCGCTCGTGTCCTGCACAGCACTCGCTTGTTCAACAGGTTGAGTTTTGAGACTTTGGAGGCAAGAATAGTGACTGATTTCTCCATTTCGTTGATTGGTCACTTTGAATCCTATGATTGGCTGTTTGCTTTAGAAGAAGATAATCGTGTCAAATAGACTCATCGTAAGCTGAATTTGAATTTATTTACCTAAATCTGAATGTGTTAACCTGAACTTGAATTTCATTACCTGAATACCAGAACCTGAATTTCACTGTAATTAACTTAAATTAAAGAATCCGAACTTAAATATGTTTACCCGTACTTGAATTTAAGAAAACATATTTGAAGTTATTACATGAACTTGAATTAAAAAAAATATATATGAATTTGAATTACCTGATTTATGTTGCTTTTGTGGTAAATAAAATTCAAGTTGTAACCTCTCAATGCCAAGAACGCAAAGACCATACTTGAGATCTTGGCAAGACCGGTCTTGCTAATTTTCCTTCCAAGAACAAACTTGGGGCGCAAAGAATCATGGGAATGATCTCATTCAGTGAGGATGCAACCGATGTATCCTTGACATTTGGGGTGGAGCAAGACCATCATCCGGGGATTTTTACCATCCTTGTGTATTTGTGTTCTTAGTATTGGAACTGGTCTTAAGCAATGGAAGGTGACGTAAAATGGGTACACAAGAACAGTATGGTCAAGTACGCATATTGAGATTCACCCCAGGTTGAGAAAATTCAGGTCAGGAAGCTCAAGTTCAGAGGAACAGGGAAAATATCCAGGATACTCAGAAAGCAAACTGCGTTTACATGACTAGTTCATTAAAAACACTCCAGAACATAACAGACTTAATCTGGTTGTCACATGTACATGTAATCATAGTCAGCTACCAAAAACTGAATAAATAAATAAACAGATCTCACTTCCTGACTTGAGAAACTGCATGTCCTCTCTCTCCTCTGCATGGTCTGTAGGGCTGGGCAATACAGACCAAAAACCAGGGATTTTCCCTGTTTCTCTGAACTTGAATTTCTTAACAAGAGAAAAATATAATCAAGCTTGTGGAAGCAAGACAGTCTAAACAAGAAATCAGAGTGAGTTACATATTTGTAAAAACTGTTAAATGTGACTGCAAAGCATTGCATAAATAACTTATTGGTTTTCAATATTGTCTTTTGCTTCTTTATGCTGGCAATCTAGTGTAAGCAATACTTGGAGAACATTAAGGTCAAATGCATCTGCCCCCCCCCAACAGAACAACTGGCCCCAGTCTGCTCCCCCCCTGCCAGTTGAAATGGTCTAGAATCGCCACTGCTTTGCGTCTCACACGAAGAGCACACATAGTGTTTAATGTTAGTATGACTTTAGCAGTCGGTGACTTTAACTGGTAAATGTTTGCTTTTTATCCATTTTATATGAATCAACAGTTATGTTTCTACACTGTGGAAGTCAGAGTGTGTGTTACTGGTATCCAGTATATGGTGGAGCTATAGGAAAGTAAATTAATCGTAGTATCAGCAGAGTACAGAAAAAAGCCTTCGGTGAACTCCTCGTAGCATCAGCAGAGTAAAAAGCCTTCGGTGAGCTCCTCGTAGCATCAGCAGAGTAAAAAGCCTTCGGTGAGCTCCTCGTAGTATCAGCAGAGTAAAAAGCCTTCGGTGAGCTCCTCGTAGTATCAGCAGAGTAAAAAGCATTCGGTGAGCTCCTCGTAGTATCAGCAGAGTAAAAAGCCTTCAGTGAGCTCATCTGAGCCAACTAGAAGTAATTTGCCTTCCAGGGCCTCCTTGGAGGGGGACTCAATATGCCTACAGTTTCAAGCCTTGGCAGCGGCAGAGGATGAGCAAGAGAAAAACATGGTGAGTAGTTCAGTCTTTCTTTCTAATAGCTTTTTAAGACCAGAAGTATAATTTCATTTTGAATAAATGACCAACCTATTAGCAATAAGGTTTCTGTCAGTTTTCTTTTGACTGTCTTTGTCCAGACCGATGTCAGGAATCTGGCATTTTCCCAGTGCCAGACCCACTGGCTCGCATCCAGATCATTCATCCGGGTGACATGGAGGGGGGGGACATCTGTCTCCCAGCATCCTTCTGTACTCGCCAAACCATGGTAGACTGGGGCACCAAAAACCCATACTGGCATCACCTTTAAACCACTACAAAGCTCACCAAACTAATCTGAATGGCAGAAAAGAATGAAAAAGATGTTTTTAAGATCAGATTTCCTTTGTCTTTTTCATAAAAAGAGAATAGGGTTCCTTGCAGATACCACCATTAATATTATATCAATCACTGGTGACTATGAAATGGACATTAAGGTGGAACATTACTACACCATGCAATTTTATGATCATAAGTTTTTTTTTACTCCCATCTCTCTCTCTACAAGCCAGCTGGGCTCATTAATCTAAGACATCTGCTGGCACAGGTTGGATGATATTGGTGTTTTGACGGATCAAAGCAAACCTGCTTTATGATGATGCTTCACTGCTGCAGACACAACAGTGTTTTTGTCATAGATATATTTGTATATGAAAATGTTCCCTAAAGGGGTAACTTTTATACAAGGTGTCTTGCATCCTTCTAGTGGCCACACAGGGCCGCAGTAAACCAGAAACTGTTCATTAAATTGTAGCCTAGGCTATGGATGAATATGCAGCCAGTCAAATATTAAACAAGATCAATATTGCAGTTAAACTGCGCAAAGACATAGTTTTTTATGCCCTTCTGGCTGCTGTGGGCTCAGCACCTCCTCTTCAGCCTTCCCCCTGCAACGCTGGCCCCCACAATAGCACTGAACATTTCCCTGGCACTGAGCATTTTCTTCTCTAGACTCTTATCAATAGGTTTTCTCCTCAACCATCAAAAACAGAAGCCTAGTAGCCAGTGTGACCAAAGGCAAAAACCATCACAAAAACACTGTAGAATATGCCTGCTCAGAGTCTGTGTTAATACTTTATTCTTTAGTCATTGAATCAGAAAAAATATCAGCTATTTCTTATGGATCTTTCAACCTCTTATACAGTACAGGGTTTTTGGATAATTTTATATATTAAATATAAATATGACAGATTTTAGTTTTTAGGGACTTGGCTTTATATGAAAACAGAAAAAATTCAACAAATTCAATCTTTAAAACCTTCAAATGAACAGTTTGGTTAGAATATATTTATACATAGATATATCCAACAATTTAGCACCTAAATCTCATTCTAAGAAAGATTAACATATCCGTGCTGTAACTATGCTTAGTAAATGAAAATAATTAAACAATATGGACAAAATGTACCTTTATATACAATTTATAGGAAATCTACAGAACTGTAAATCATAGTCGTACAATGGAAAAAAGTCCTCTAGTTGGTTAACATTGATGAAAAATGTCAGTATATTGCCCATTTAAAGTAGGTCTGTATTGTGGATTGTTCATTAGTCTTCCAACAAGCGCAGTCTGGCAGTTGTCATTGATAAGCAGGAGCATTACATAGGTTTAGGCACCTTTCTCAAACTGCCTGCTCCCTAATCTCCCAATCAGGTTGATATATAAATAACTGGAATGCTGATTTATGAAATATGGATGTGAATTCCCACCACTAAAGAAAGCATGAGTCTTACAGATCCTTCAGGGTGATGACAGGAAATACAGTGACATCCTCTCAGTCACTGCAGCTTCTTTTTGTTTTTCACGTAGCTTCCATACCAGAGAGATATGCCAGAGATTGATTACAACGTTAAGTTGAAGATCTAGCAGCAAAGAGTTCAGATGCAGCCGCACTGAACTCTCCATCACTGTCACAGGAAGTTCTCATCACTGGGCACATAAGAGAAACCTTTGAAGGCACTGGAACTGCTGGTTCCAAGGCAAGAGGACGGCTCGGGGGTGCGGCCCACTGACCCAGGCACAGTCTCTGTTGTGAACTCTGGGTCGATGTGTTGCATGTCAGCGGGTCCCTTCTGAAGCAGCAGGAGGAAGAAACATTTCAAAGAGAGATCATACCAGGTAACAGAATGCAGCCCTTGGACGACAGATTAACTTACCACTTTTGGGTTGTATGGAGGGGTAATCCTCTTATGGTACAGGTCATCCCAGTTTATGGGAGAGAAGAACACATGGTACTTCACTTCAAGCTGGAAAAAACAAGTTTACATTGTATATTATATATATGCGAAATGGGGGTTGTGAGTAGGGATTAGATGGGAAGGGGCGGTCCAGGGAATACATTTTTCAGGTCCCTAAAGGGGAAACTCAGTTTTATATAAATCTGTGACTGCAATCAAAAAGCAAAAAATGACAAAATTGTTGTATTATGTTTGGTTACTTATGGTTAAGGTTAGGGTTGTGTTGGGTTTAAGGTCGTCATAGCTGGGATAAGGGTTATGCCCATAGATGCATGGACAATCCCTGCAAAGATATCAATACAAACATGTGTGTGTGTGTGTGTGTGTGTGTGTGTGTGTGCGAGCGGGTTTACCTATCCTTATGGGGACATAATGGTTTCCTGGTCCCCATAAGGGAAAACACTATTTTATAAAAATCTGTGACCGCTATGAAAAAACTAAAAATGCAAAAACTCTTGTATTTTGTTAGGTTACTTATGGTTATGGTTAGGGCAGGGTTAGCATTTTTCCCATTGAAATGAATGAGCGGTCCCCATAAGGATATGTTTACCCTACATGCGCGCGTGTGTGTGTGTATGAGTGAAAGAGACAAAATGCAAGGACATTTTTTGGGCCCCCAAGGGAATTCTCAATTTTTATAAAAAATTGTGAATTCAGTCAAAACAATAAAAATCCCATAAGTCTTATATTTTGTTTGTTTATTTATATTTAGAGAACAGGATTCAGCAAAAAATATATAAAAGCTGTATTAGAGTCTAATCTTGACTCAGGTGGACTTACAATTGCTAGCTAGTTTTCAATTACTCAAAAGAATTAGTGTATTTTTTATGTCAATTGTTTACATCTGATTAAATTATTAATTAATTGATTAATTGGTGAATATTCATTAATGTATTGTGCATAACTTTTGTGCAATTCTCTACCCATTAAACATATAGTGAAGTTTGAAGTTATTTCAAAGCTATGCAATTTCAACACCCACATCTGTGACTGTACATGGAGTTTCCATGCAAGTATCTGTGACTCCATGGTCATGTTTTTATCTGAGAGGGTGAGACACACAAAGCTACTCACAAAGTCAGCAATAGCTCCTAGGCGGTGATGTTGGTCCTTCTGCAGCAGCCCCTGCAGCACATCACAGGCTGCCATGGTTTTCCCACCAGGCAGGTGTAAGGGTTTGTGTAAGATCCCATCATACATTTCAGCTACATCGCGACTGTAGAATGGGGGCTGGAGACCACAGGTACACAACCAAGACCCAACAAAAACCTCTTATCACAACAATTCCTCATGATACTCTGGTAGCAACACGTAAGAAAACTTTCTTAGAAGACCCTTGATTGAATAATATTTCACTATGACTCTGAGTCCTTCAGTCATTCCTGCCTCTACAGTCTTCCTATCTATTTTTACAAGCCTTACCAAGCCAAAGAGCATTTCATACAGAACAGCACCAAGGCACCACCAGTCCACCATGCGGTCATAGGGCTGTTTCCTGAGCACCTCTGGAGCTAAGTACTGCAATGGTGAGAAGGACTCATTGTTAATGTAGCCGTAGCGTGGTTAGCGTGGCTAAGAAGGGGCTTCCTTCAGTATCTCTGACCTCTGGTGTTCCACAGAACGTGGATGTGGTGAACTCTGGCTCCATTCCTTCTTTGCAAAGGCCAAAGTCTGTCAAAACAACATGGCCCTAAAGCAGAATGCGAAACAAACCCGAGTGTTAGTCACACATATAACTAGCCTGCAAAAATGTTGCTTTTTTTGAGGTATGGTATCTGAAGATATAACCCATGTTAACAGCTAGATGCTGTCGGAACAACAACGATGTATTCTCTGGACAGCCCCATTACCCCTGTCCCATCTAATCCCCACTCCTCTCACACCCCCATTTCACCGACTTTTCACTGAGATTTACTGTGTTTACAAAATCAAGCGCTTGCAGCCCCCCCCCCCACCCCCCCCCTTCCTTTATTGCCGCCACTTAGCGCTGCTTCAAATTGTCTCAAACTGTTTTGGCTCAAAATGAAATTAGGTGTAGATATTCAACCAAATGTTTCTGAAGTGGTAATTAGGTCAAATCCAAGACCATAAGACTATCAGATACTTTGTGAATTGTCATGTTCACAGTGTCAAATGGCTTGTGAAGTCACCTTTCCCTTTGCTACCACTATGCGGCATTGCATCAGTTTTCATGCAGCTGCTCTCAAAATTTGATCAAGTTCAAATCTTCACCTATACAATCACCTATACAATGTATTTGCTCAGTTCGCAAAAGATCCGTCAAATACTTTTGGAGATATCATGCTAACGGAATAAGTGTCTGAGGCCGCCCTTTTCTTTGTTATTAATACGCAGCGCTCCTTCAATTTTAATGTTATTTGATCAATTCCAGTTCTTCCCCCATAAAATGCATCTGCAATGTTTGAAAAAAGTTTGACAAATGCCTTTTGAGTTGCTGTATCCATAAGATCAAATGTTCTGCCCTTTGCTGTCATTAAGTGGTATTGCAACTTAGGTGCAATTTATGTCTAAGAGTACCAAATCCTCAACCATTCAATATGTCTGCTAATTTTGGAAAAGATCAGTCAAATGTTTTTTGAGTTATCACAGTATCACAAATGAGTGTCTCGCACTGGCTTTTCACTCATTTTCATCCATACAATGTGTCTGCAAAGTTTGAAAATGATCCATAAAGTATTTTCAGAGTTACTGTGTTCATAAAATGAAATGTCTTCTGTAGCCACCTTTTCCTTCTTTTGCTGCGCTGCTTCAGATTTGTCTCAAAATTTGATCAGTTCCAGTTCTTCACCAATAACATTTTTTTCAAAGTTTAAAAAAAAATCAAATGTATTCCCCATTTGGGGAATACAATAGCATGTTAATTTAATATTGGTACTATTACCTCTTACCTCTGAGTCTAACAGGATATTCTCTGGCTTCAAATCTCTGGAAGAAAAAACAAGTCTCACAGTAAGTAAGGAGAAGACACAGGCTGAGTGTATAATTGCTGTAGAGGAGATGATACTGACCTGTAAATTATATTGAGGGAATGGAGGTATCCAATGGCGCTTGCCACTTCAGCAGCATAGAATCGAGCACGTGGCTCCAGGAAGCATCGCTCCCGCTGCAGGTGGAAGAACAGCTGAAGAATAGAAAGGTCAGCAGCGACTTAACACCTCCAAAGATATGTCCAATACCATTTGAACTATGCATCCAGAGCCAGACTCTACCCTTCAACATCCAATTATGTGGAATGTAACCCCTCGGCAGCCCAGGGTGCTACTGTACCTCTCCTCCGTTGACATAGTCCAGTACAAAGTAGAGCTTCTCAGGGGTCTGAAAGGAATAGTGCAGTCCGACCAAAAAGGGATGCTTCAGGCTTTTGAGCAGCACATTCCTCTCTGCCATGATGTTCTTTTGCTGAGGGACACAAACTGCTGATTATACAGCTGGGACAAAAGAATGGGATGTGACAGGAAAGCATAGCTGTCACAGCAGCAGGGTGGAAAACAAGGGCCAATTCTATCATCTAGAGACGAGACAGAGAAAAGCACAATGCACTCTTCTTTGTCCTGTGACTCTATAATTGTATTCATTCTCATTTTAGCAAAGTAAAATCGGTGACTTGCATCTTGAGGGACCTCAAACAAAGACAAGGTATTCCCGATTATAAAAAAAAATTAGCAGATGCTTTTGTCCGATGTGACACACAAGTGAGGAAGATATGGGGCAGTAATGGATATAGAAATGTGTATGGCTACTATTTAGACATTAACCAACCTCTTTTTTCTTTAGTATGACTTTCTTCTGCAAGACTTTTACTGCATAAAATTTATTGTCTGATTTCAGTTTGGCCAGTAGCACCTGGGGCAGACAAAGACATTGTTACAAAGGGTATCTGGCTGGTAACTTGTCAAACTCTCCCAGCATACCCTCACTATAAGTCCTTAACATCCTGTGAGATGTTTCTTCATTATCTTAAATTGACATACACAAGGTTGACAGTGTGCAATATTAAACTATAACATTTGTTATTTAGTAAAACATATAATTCACTCCTCAATCCAAGCAATTCTTGGAATTAACTAATTAATTATGATTGTAAACCATAAGGCCATATACTGCAGATTCCCATACATACCTTCCCAAATGTTCCTTTCCCAATCACTGATAAGAAATCAAAGTCTGTAGGTCTGGCGCTAAATACATTTAAAAATATATTATTTTTTTCAAAATATATTGCAAATTAATATATTGCAATTAACGATGATAGATGTTGAATGAAATATGCAGCGGTGGAAAAAATTGAGACCTCTATATTTTTAAACAAATCTGCATTTGTAAATCCTGCCTCATTCCAAATGCAATGTTTATATTATATTATATTATATATAAATGAATTGTCAGATGAATCGTCGGATTAATCGGTAGATTACTCAATTATTGATATAATCAATAGCGACAGCAATAGTTTGAACCAGGTAATTAGACTATAAAACTTCTCTAAACGGTCAACTGTGAATGAATAACACTATAAAAGGAAAACGTCTTAAATAAAAGTGTTTCTCTTCAGTGTTATGTTTCTACATTCACCCCTAGCTTCACTGTCGGAGTCACGCCTGAGAGTTACTCACTGGGGGTTGGCTGTTGGTCCCAGGTTGACATCATTAGGAGAGCGTGACCGGGGCTGGAAAACATAAATGTATCGGCAACAGCGACAAAAGGGAAAACTATACCTTGTTTGATCACCTGCTCATAGCCTTATGATATGATAGTTTTGCATTCTGTGGCCATCTAGAGAATACAAATGTAATGGGAAATTTACAGAGGCTGATCTCATGTGACACTTAGACCTTGTGAGATCACTGCTATTGCCTTGGTGGAACAAAAAACCTTCTAAAATCCAGTCTTCATTGCATCAAACTGTTTTTCGGGTTGATATGAACTACAAAGGGATTTGTTGAATCAATTTTCCAGATTAATTTTCCAGATCCCTTTACACGTTATAAGGTTTGGATGTGTACTTATCATGAGGTGAAAAAAATATTCAGCTAACAGTCTAGTCTAAAGTCATAAATCAATCGAAAAATTAACTTACTTCATCACATTGAGCCATCTTATTGGTCCATTCCATTTCCAGCCAGAAATCACAGTGGAAGATCTCTAAAAAGGACAAGACTTTATCCTAGTAGATTAGTCAGTAACGACTGGACTAATGTTCTTGAATGAACGTGAAACTGTCAAGTGCAGCTGATACCCTTCTGAGGGACAGAAACGTCCCTGTGAAACTGGATGTACTGGTTTATGACAGAAAACTAACACACCTACAACGTTTTGTAAACGAAGCTGCTAATCTTATAATCAAGAGAAAAAAATCAGCAACTTCACTACATAGTTAACAGAGTTAAACATGTTCTACAATTTTCATACAGACTTTATGAGATTACATATATAATGATGGGCGCAGTGGTAACTAATGTCTTAACTTGAAAATCATAGATTTTTTTTTCACAGTTACGACCTAAGAGCTAATAACATCTGTGTGCATGCCTTGTCATTTGCGTTTTCAATTTCATATGAAGCAATTTATTAAAATGTTTTAATCCAGCTATCGAAAATGTAATCTCCTCTGAAATACGTCCAACAAACAGTCATCGTCACACAATTCATATGATCCCCACGCAGGGTAATCTCAGAACATTCTAAACAATGGCATTTTCTGTCTTCACTGCACTCCTTAAATACTGTTAAATAGTCTATTTGCTTGTCATGCAACCTGCAACTTATATTACGCCGTAGTTTGAAATAGATTGTAAACATTCGCAGTCAGATTTTCCAAGGCCAATTTCTTAATATTGATGGAATTAAATACAAGACGAATCCTTTTTATATTTTCTCTTGTGCTGTATATTTTCAGGAGTAGCTCAACGTATCTTATCTTTGTATCAATGTTTGTTCAGGTACTTTGCTGACTACAGCACCTTTCACTAGCTAAAACGAGGAGCTGCATGACCTTGTGAACCGGCCGGCTATAGTCCAGCATTTAGCAAACCGAAGCAAGTTCTGAGACACATTCCGCCACCAGCACGGTTGTTGGCTACTATAGTTTATACTGTAGTCTTGAAACAACTGCGCCAGTCGGCTCAGCTGCATATGAGATATATGTGCGTGAAGGCGTATTATTTTGCTAGATATGAATCTTGGAAGACCCCAAAACCCTTGATCGAATCTGACAAATTAGTTTTTAGTTCACTCGGGAAACTGCATATTCAATATATGGGCAACAACAACAACAATAATAATAATAATAATAATAATAATAATAATAATAATAATAATAATAAATGATAATAAATGATAATGATGATGATGTGTGGGAAAAACCCCCAAAACGTATATGCCATCTAGTTCTTTTTAAAAGTTTTGTAACTGCAACGATCCTACAAAACAGACAGCCATGGAAACTATAAAACATATTAATTTAAAACATCGCGCTTGAAGGAGTATACATCTCCCCAAAGTCTGCATCCTGAACTTCTCAGCATTTACCTTCTACAGAGAGCCCCACCGATGTCCCAGGCGGTTCCGTCCACGGCGTAGAAATGGTCCTAAACTAATCTAAGTCAGTAGAGTGTCGGGACACATTAGCGTTCCGCGTCATTAACATTCAGGCGATTCGCGAAGGTCAGAACTGGTTCCGCTTACAAAAGAATCAATCATTAGCTTATGAGCAGCGTAGGAATGCTGTGTGCCTTAAAAATATATTTATATAGAAAGACGACAAAATCGTGTTTGAATCGCATAGTTAACTTCCCCTTTTCTGATTTACTACCGAGAAGAATCATACCGCCGGTAAAATCTGTATCCACCGTATTTATAATTCAAATAACGATATATGTGAAAATAGAATCTTCTCCTTTTATTTTCTTTTTAGCAAAATGAGTCTTCTGTATTCAGTTATATCTTATGACTGCCTACGTGAACACGCACACAAAAACAAAAACACCTCAAAATGTCAGCTATGCGATATTATATTACTAATTATATTATTGTCATCTATATCATCAAAAATAATTACTATAACTTATTAACGTGTATTGTCAAAATGTGCACATTGACTCCTAGGTAAGGTGACTTATATTGGATGTGTTCATATTTCTGGTGTCATACTGTTCACTGATAGTTACAGATGATGCTGGGACCTAATAATTGGTGTATGGTGATTACTGTTTTGACGTATTGAAATTCTTACTTACAGGTAATGTAATTTAAGGTTAATACAAGCAATAAATTAGATCTTAGACATAAGGCCAGCCATCTATCCACCGCTTATCCAGCTCCTGTTGCTCCAGTGTGATCCTCTATCTCCCCAACCACCTCCTTCAGCTCCTCTGGGGGAATATTCCAGCACTTCCAGGCCAGCTTAGAGATACAGTATAATCTCTCCAGCCTGTCTTGGGTCTGCCCCGGGGTCTCCTCCCCGATGGACATGTCTGAAGCACCTTTCCAGAGAGGTGTCCAGGTGGCATCCTAGGATAGAATACTCTACTTTGAACCACGTCCGCATGTCCAAGGTCCTCACCCCAAGCAGACACCCTGCTAAGAAAACTTATTTCCGCTGCTGGTATCCGTGATCTCATTCTTATGGTTACAACCGAGTGCTTGTGACCATAGGTGAGGGTAGGAACATAGACTGACCAGTAAATGTATAAACTCCCTCTTTTGGATCAGGTATCTCTTTACGACAACAGAATGGCAAAACATCCGCATTACTGCTGACGCTGCACCAATCCTGCAGTCAGTCTCCTGTTTCATTCTTCAGTCACCCGGGAACAAGGTCCTGAGATACTTGAACTCCCCAGCTTGAGGCAATGGCTCCTCCCCAACTGGGGGGGGGGGGAGAATCCACCCTATTGTGGTTCAGACTTGGAGGTGCTGTTCCTCATACCAGTTGCTTCACACTTGGCTGCAAACCGCCCCAGTCACAGCTTGATGAAGCTAACATAATCTGATCCCTACTACCCTAATCTGCCAATCCGGAGGCACTGTCCTCAACCTCCAAGCAGTTTTGAAGAGGCATATCAGCTAAGACAGCCCAACATCAAGAGTCTTTAGGAACTCAGGGTGACTCTCATCCACCTCTGGAACCTTACCACTAAAGAGTTTTTTTTACTGCAGTCCTAGTGTTAGGCGTGTCCTTCTCTGACTCCACCAAATTTACTTCCTCCTAGTAAGGCATCTTACTGGGATACAGGAGGTCCCCAAAGTACTCCTTCCACTATCCGACTATATTCCCAGTTGAGGTCTACAGTACTCCATCCCTGCTGTAAACAGCATAAGCAGAACCCTGCTTTCCCCTCCTCAGTCACCTGACAGTTTGTCAGAATCTCTGCTAGGCTGAAGGCAAGCTATTTTCCATGGCCTCACCCAACTCCTCCAACACCTCAGTTTTTGCTTCTGCAACTGCCAAAGCTTGCCGGTACATGGCAGCTGACTCTGGAGTCCAACAAGCCAACCAAGCTCAGAAGACCTCCTTCTTCAGCGTCACAGCTCCCTTTCCTGCTTGTGTTCACCAGCAGGTTCAGGGGTTGCTGACACCACAAGCACCAACAACCTTCTGACCACAGTTCTGCACAGCTGCCCATTCAGGCTCGATTCCTCCAGCCTCCCTCGGAATGCAAGACAAGTTCTGCCAGAGGTGTGAGTTGAAGATCTTCTAGACAGGGTTCTTCGTCAAACTCTCCCAGCATACCCTCACTATACATCTACCAGGTCTGTGTGGCATCTTCCCCCACCACCTGATCCAACTCATCCCCGGCTGGCGACCAGTTGACAGCTCAGCTCCTCTCTTCACCTGAGCATCTAAGACATATGATCGCAGATCTAATGATACGACTACAAAACCATCAAGCTGGGCCCTACGGTGTTTTGGTACCTGCTGCACTTATGAAGACCCTTATGCTGGACCATGGTGTTTCTTATGGACAAACTGGGGTTAGCACTGAAGCACAGGGCAGGGCAGAGGATCAGATCACGCAGACTGTTCCTCCCAGTCAGCTTTTAGCTTTCACTGTTATTACCCATGTGAGCATTAAAGTTCCCAAGTAGGTCAATGGAGTCCTTGTGTCTTACAGCACCCCCATCCAAGGTCATCCAGAAGGCCGAACACTCAAAGTTGAAGGTTGGTGATCCTCTCGTTCACTGGGCCGCACTTCAACATACAAACACTGAATACAGGGGATATGAGCAAACTCACTAATGCCTCTCACCTAGGGCAAGTGGAATATAGTCCAGACAGGGGATCCGTAGAAGGGGGGAAGTTAGCACGATTCCAAGGGCCCTAAAAATTTTCACATGTAATTGGATTGGTCTGGGTTGGGGGCCCAAAATGATACACTTTCATGGGGCCCAAAATCTCTAGCAGCACCCCTGGTCCAGACATTATGTAAAGCATATTGACCTTTTTACCAGAAACACCATAAAATCTAATTAGGTATTATTTTTTATATATGTCTATATTAAAATCTGTTTCATGCGGGCATCTTACAAAGTACAGTGTTACCTTGGAACATGAACGTAATTCATTCCAGAAGGCTGGTCAAGTTGTGATTTAGTCAAGGTCCAAGTCAAATTTCCCCATAAGAAATAATGTAAACACATTCAACCTGTTCCAGAAGCCCCACATGACTGCCTATTTAAACTTATCTACCTACCTAATGATAAAAAGCATTGACAATCAATATAAAACTAATACATGAAAAATCACACATACAAAAGCAATAAACATAAATAAATGACGATCCCACACTCTAAAGCGAGAGCAGACACACGTGCATCACCTTCAAGTCTCGCTATAATTTCCTTTTTAAGTTCTGCAGTTACTTTCACTACTTTGCTCTGGTTTGCTGCTATCACTGCTCACTTTCTTAGGAACCATGATTACTGTATCACTAAATGTACTGTAGATAAAGCACAAAAAATCACACCAAACACAGCTTTTCACACATCGAACTCGGTCGAAAGGTACTGCAAGACTGAGAGCAATTCAAAGACATAAGCATCCCAGTAGGTCATTTTGTGTCAGCCCATCAGAGACGTGTTTTGATCTGTAAGTTTTAGCAGGTCTGTTTTGTTTTGTTGTGTTCTGAGTTTTTGGCTGAGTTGCCACTAGATTTTTCTCAAATGCTCCAGGTCTGAATTGGTAGAGTTGAACGCATCTCGACATATACAAGTTTTAGCAGGAATGGTCGAGTTCCCAGATTTCGGTTACAGTACAAGTAAAAAAAATTTAACAGAACCGTTTGACGTCCGAGTTGGTCGAGATAAGAAGCATTCAGGTTCCAACATTCTACTCTATTCCTCCAATGCTTCCTGGCAAAGAATATTGAGTCAGGTAGCTACTTGTGTTTTTAATGCCTCACGGAGTAACAGTAATAGAGCAGGTTCCCTTAATTTCACTAGACTGTATAAATAAATCCATTTCAACCTTGTAAAGAAAATCCATAACAAGTACACAAAGTAGTATTTGTTTGTATTTTGCACAGCTTTACATTTTATTGAATGGATTTAAATGCACATCAAAATTCTGGAGAAACCAAAGAGCTTGAAATGAACTTGTGCTGAGTTGTGAGAAGCTGAAGGGCTTCTTGACGTAATTACTGTACCTTGACACTGTACAGGCAGTTCCTAGGTTACAAACGAGATCCATTCCCTAAATCTGTCTCTAAGTGGAATTTGTAGATAGGTTGGAAAAATAATAATACAGTACATAATAATAATCATAATAATACAGCAATAATAAAAGTAATACAGTACTGTTCTGTACCTCGAGCCAACTAACCACTGAAGCCAGTCGTTTTCACGAGAGTCACAAAGCGTGTGCATTCATTTTTATGAGCCATTATATTTAACCAAAATTTTTCATATAACAGACTTTATGGCAGTCCGTTCATAAATATGAGTTGTCTGTAAGTTGGACGTTCTTAACCCGGGGACTGCCTGTAATCTTGTATTCATTAGAGAGAGAGTCTTGGTCCCACTGAAAACCTCGAACTGGGATTTATATTATCTGAAATCTTCAAGTTTTCTTAAATGCAAGATATACACTTGCAAAATAATTTTATGTAAACGTGTTACGTTCATGTCACTTTTCAAATAATTTTGCTTTCAAAAAAGGAGTTTCAATTAACTAAAATATACCTTTTATGTTGTTTTTTATATATGCATGTGTGTTTGTGTGTTACCAAGCGGAATGGCAACTTCAAGATCAGAAGTTGATACTTAATGGCTCAGTCTAACTATCCGCTTCAGCAACATTAAATTACTGGGGGACAATAGGCTTGTTTTTCTATTGTAACTACATCATTGAAAATAAAGTATAAAAAATCAATCAGGTGGTCTCTCTTATGGTTTTTGAACTGAACACCGAACACATAGACGAAGAGATTTCTAGACTGGTACATCGCAAAACAGGCAAATCACTTGAGGCCTTCGTCAATGCTCTTAAACATAAGAATGGCATTATAGATCTTGAGAGCAGGGCCAAGCTTGATGCTCATTATCTTGACTATGTCAGCCTGTGTCAGCAGCAGAAAAGCCTCCCCATCAATCATCTGTGGAGAGAAGTCCATCTTGTTTACAGTCTTCCTAGAAATAGGAACTGGGGGGGATTAGATAGATGTTTGAACAACAAAATCATGGGAACTACAAGAATGACATAATGCTGGTTTCAAGTTCCAGAATTTGGTCTGGAAGGTGGAACCCTACGTCACTCAGGAGATGGTCTACATCTGGCTTTAGAACTCAAGTACTAGCTCACCTCATCCCTGAAGAGTCGGGCCTGCTCTTCACAACCAGTCAAGTTATGAACAAAGCCAAAGACCTGTTTACAAACCAAGACAGAATATCACACATACATTTAAACTACACTCCCCAGGATGTGTTTGTAGTAACTCCAGGCAATTACTCCGATATTATACTGCTTGGTAAAACCCAGTCTTGTACTACACTGTCTTACACTATAAATACCAACTGGAAGCTCAGCCTAGTTGCACTTACTCCTGTCTGAAAGTATGTCTGTAATGTACTATTTGCCTGATTGGCAATCAAAAGCCCCTCATGAACAGGGATGCACATAGCTGGTATTAAAGAAATTACTGTGCATTTTAACCTTTATACAGTTAATTTGTACTTCATTCAAGGAAGATGCATGGTAGTTTCTCGTCATAAAAAAGCAAATGCACATTAAATAAGCACGCATTTGCACTGCTATGGCAAGAAATTGCCGCTCATATCCTTTCACACTGCAAATGTGTACTTGCGTTTCAGTTATGTACATCCCTGCTTATGAATAAATAAATGTAAATGTATTTATTACAAGTTTTATCTGCTAAATATTTTTTAGGAGCACTGCATTAATTATGGTACAAACGATAAGCCACTGACACCTGGACATCTCTCTACAGGGCCGCACAGACTTTTGCTCTGCCTTGTTGCCATGACTACGTAGCGTACTACGTTTCTCACCTCCTCCACAGTCCAAGTGGCCACCTTGCTGGCATGAATGCCGGCCACACCTGGCAGCAGCTTGCAGTGCTGTTCCCAGCAGAGGGAGACGGTGCGGTCTGGATGGGCTGAAAGCGCGGACATGAACAGGGACGGGTACACCCCCTCTACAGTCATACCTGAAAGATCGACACGCCATGTCATTAGTGCCACTGAAATCTGCGAAGATGGATCCTGCACTGATCTGAGAATGGGTCCACCGGAAATAACGTGTACATGTGTCAAAATGTTGCCTGCTCACCCTGATAGCTCCTCTGCTGGCTCTTCCGGTACTTAGGAGGGCGGCCGATCCTGTGTACACAGAGGGACTCGGTGCCAGTCAAAATGGAACCAACAATCACATTGTAATATTCAGTTTACAATCTAAAGGATGTTTCAGGTGCATTGAGCTGCTTTAAAACCTTAGACGAGACCGCTTGGCATGACGGGGTTACCTGCCATGGTAGCGTGATTTCTTGTTGCGCGGACCGAACATGAGCAGGTTCCGTTTGCTGCCCAGGCCCTCGGTGTCAGACAGCTCAGTCTTCAGCCGGCCCTGGTTCCGCTCGGCCAGCGGGCAGCCGGAGAGACAGTGATGTGCCGTGAAGCGGCCCGTCACATGACCCGAGCCGTCACAGCCCGGGGTCGGACACTTCCTGTTTTCACCATACAAACAGATTCGTGGCAACATCAGTAGAGTGATAACAAACACCGTTTCCCTGAACATCACTCGCTGTCACAAACAGAACTCAAAAGACGATGTGGTGAACCTCTGCCTTACTTCAATATTCAACCTCTCAACACAAACACAGTTTTAACAAAATACATGGTATTATCTTAGACTACAAAATACTAATGTTCATATGCAACCTTCACTGCAATACAGACACTGTGTCAGTTCCACTTAATATGGTATGCTTTGAGCCTTATACTTGGAGTGCCCGTATTAAAACAAGAAAAGAAACACTATTCCCAGCCCACAGTGTTGACCAAGTTGCCTGAACCATACACATATACAGACCTTAAAATCTATGAAGTGAAATAGAAATGTAATGTAAAAAAAGATTAATAATACTGAAATAGCCAGGCCTAACCCGTAACACAATTTTATAATATGTAAGAAGGGGGGTCCCTGACCTGAAAAGGCTGAATTCAGAGCTAGAATCACAAAAAAGAATTCTCGGCCTGTTTGGATCTCCAAAACTGGAGGAGATTTGGCCTTGGTTATATACTGCGTGCCATAATTCTTATTAATGCATAGCTGGACACCTAGGTAAACACACATAACACAAGTGCCCTTCGATGATCAACCTAGACTTTGAGTTCCTCTTTTTCATCAGTGAATCTGCTGCAAACTACTTTAACATTGTCAAGTCACACATATAAAACCCAGCATAGACATAACTGATGGAACATTTTGACATTTTTGAATAATGGGATTCTTTTACTATTTGCTATAGCTCTGCTTAGAGTTTGGAGTGTCAGAGACAAATGATCACAGCTGACTGTACATATGGGTCTCAATCCAAGCGATTAAGAGCTCAGACTCAGAAAACAGTTTGTGTGTCCATCTAGTGGCCAAAGACAGGCCACGCAGCATTTACCTGTGATGGAAGCTGTACTTGGTGTTTCTGGAGTGAGATATTCCTTTGCAGGGCAGAGAAGGAAAATTTGTCTGTGCTGAAACAGGAGGCTCCCTGGGACCTGCCAGTAAAGAGAGAGAAACACAGACACAGGAGAATGAGAGACCACCAAAAAATTAAATTCCAAATACATGGTTTTATTCCTTTTTATATAGCATTTTAAAGACAGTCAGTGAAGGTTAACGGAACACTGTCAGGGTCTCTTCCACCCCTTTTTACATTGTACGCCAATGATTGTAGGAATGTGCACTCTAACAATTATATTGTGAAATTTGCGGTAGACACTGTGATCCTGGCATGTGGATCCTTATGTGTATCAGGATGAGACAGATTTATTTATTAAGTGGTGTGATAATGACCATGTATTTATAAACATCATCAAAACACAGTGCTTTTGTATAAAGCAACCATGCACTATGCCAAATTTCCCCATGGGGACAGTAAAGTTTAACCAAACCTAATGCTTGTGCAAGCAACACAACCGTCACCAAAGTGTAATCAATACATGTATTTCACCAAGCCCAGTCCATACTGTATGGCATCTCTGTAAGAAGCGTTTTCAGCCACTGGACTGTATAACGGTTTTGCTGCAGTGAAGCAGGGAAGCACTGGTGAGTTAATGAAGGATAAGTGAAGGTCTGCGGTTACCGGGTGGCTGGGTGCTGGATTCACAAAGAGGCGGCTGCAGGGGGTGCCCGGTGTGCTCGCACCAGCCAGCCGGGTGAAGGTCTGGGTGGTCTGCATCCATCCACTCGTCGTACATGTGACTCCAGCCGTCAAGGTGAATCTGGGAGGAGAATGGAGGCATAGAGCTGAATTGCCGGTGTGTGCTTTCTGGACAGACAGAGCAACATTACAGGTACCCCTCACTGTCTGGACTCACGCCATTAGAATATCTGCTATAATGACTCGCAAAACTGCACCCAATATTCACTACCTGCTATAATGAATTTGCATCTGCAAAAAAAATCAAATTGTATTCAAGCAAAAACAATTTTTTTCTTATTATTTTTCCCCCAATTACAAGCTCCATGTATATGTAAATTCCCTATATGACATGTTTTCAGTAATAGATTAGAGTCAGGGGTGTATTTAAATACATTACTTCTGTACTGCAACCTTCACCGAGACCAGTATCAACCCACGATGGTTGGATGTTTAAAATAATGGACCTTAATCCTATGTGTGTCAACCTCCTCCACGGTCGCTACACGGATGAGGGCTGGGCTTCTCTTGTCCACAGCCTCCAGTTTCACCTGCACTTGGAAGCCATGAGGAGGCCGCTGTGGAGAATCAGAAGAACGTCACCACATACAGAGACACCCTTTAGAAAATGTACTCAATAAAACTGGATTGTTGGAAATATGGATGGATGGAATGCCAGCCCATCGCAAGACAAACATGCACACACTCACACGCACAACAGGCGATTCAGAGACATCTATTTACCAAGCCACTAACTGCACAATGTGGAGGCATGAGAAGGTATGTGGCCTTACATCTTAGATTGTATGCAGGAAACACTAGACCAAGAGTCCATGTTCTAAGACACAGATTGGATTTTGTGTTATGCAGAGTACGCACCACTTTAAAGGCCTCTGGTGAAACCGCTGTAGAGCCTGTTTCCTCTAGGTACCTCTCCCAAGAGAACTTATCGGGATCTGGGTAATCTATAGGACGAGACAAGTTATCCTGTAGGAGTGCTCTAGGCATCTGCATGTCTCATGAAAATGGGTAGGAAAGCTGTTAATTACCTTGTGGGGGAGTCAGAGGAAGGCCTCTCTCTTTGCACCATCCAATTGGGTGGATGTATGGGCTGGTGGCATCACACCTATTGGGGGAAACATATGAGGGGTAATGCGGGTTTATAGAGCATATTTTAAAGACTTGCATACATGAGCCGCCAATTGCTACTTCGCAAGAAGCACACCAGTAGTCATAGGTGTCGTCCCAGTTGTCGAAGTGCACGAGAAACCGACTATCTACTACGTCCGTCACCGTGGCTACACAAATGAGGGAAGGGTTCATCCGGTCTACAGCCTCCAGCTTCATTCCCACCTCAAAGCCGCATGGTGTCTCCATCTAAAGAAGGAGAAGATGTCATGTTTCAAGCAATCTTCCTAGCCTGTTGCAACCCACCAGTCTTCTCACATCTAAGCCTGAAGAAAAGACTCACTCTGCCGGAGCTCACAAACAGCTCCTCTGGGGCAGCTTGTGCTTTTGTCAGTTTTAAGTAGCTACTCCAAGAGAACTCCTCTTCCTTACACCCTACAAGACAAACAGACATCAGAGGGGATTGCATTCCCTCTCGACCAGAATTACACACTCTTCTCAACATACCCAGCCCAGAAAAGCCCCCTGACCTTTGGGTGTGTAGAGCTTGTGCCCCGTTCTCTCGCACCACCCCGGAGGGTGGATGTCGGAACAGTTAGCATTAACCCAGAAGTCGTGACACTCAGAGTAGCCATCAAAGTGGAGCCGCATCCTGTAGCCACAAACCTGAAACAGGGTCAGAGGGGACAGTTCTGCCCCATGCACCTGAGCACGCCTTTCTCTGTGTGGGTCACGTGACGAACAGGACAGCGAAGCACCTTCCCTGTTTGGTGTAAATGCAGCATCCCTCCCCTCATGGTCCTCATACCTCAGCCACAGTCAGGACAAAATACATGGATGGGTGCTGGGGATCTATGCCTTCCAGCTTCATGCCTTGGCGGAAGTTGTTCTTGCACTGTGGAACCCTTTGGAACTGAGAGACAGCAAAGAGTCACCCTAACTGAGCTATCAAAGTCCAAACACTGTACAATGATTCAGCACTATTCTAATAAAATTACAGTAACCTCTTCACATTCATGAGGGTTAGGGTTTGGACATGCAGATTTTGCATGTCCAAACTGTTTTGTCATTTCCTATCTAGACCTTTTTATATAATATACAAACCATCTAAAATATGCCCCTGTATATACAAAGTTGTTACTCTACGCACTGAGAGCCCTATGTTTTGGACCCTTTATTAAAAATGCAAAATTACAAGCACCCAAAAGTTTAAAAGTTACCGTGAGACATGTGACATTCCACAGTCACAGAGACAGCTAACATGTGGGTGAGGTTGATTGTTGAGACAAAGATAAACAGCATACCCAAACCAATACTCTTAATATTAAAGATAGTGTGCACTTACACTAACAAATATTATGTATCACTAATGTTTATATGTTATATGATTTTATGTAATCCAGATCATTTTTAGTATTGTTTTTGACTTACACGTTGTGTGCCAGTTTCTGCAATCTTTTGGCAAACAGCAAAAATATTGCTGTTTAATTGTTCATGGCCAACGCATGAATAACCAAAAGCGAGAATGTCAAATTCAGCAATCTAGAAGGCCAACTTTAAATGCATTCAGTTGCGAATATGATTAAAATGCATTTAAATTTTATTTCTAAATATTTTCTGTCTGGTTCACCTCCATTCTGGAAGTATGGTTCATGTTTTAAACTACACAGCTACACAGTTCAGCACAAGTATAACGTAAAGTTTCCTATTTAAACAGGTCTAATTCATTCTGTATGACTTTAAGCTACAATGCCACATACCTCCTGGAAGAGCTTGGGGGGGGCAGCGATGGCCCCCTGGTCTTCCAGGAACTGAGGCCACAACCACAGCTCTTTCTTGGTCCCACTCAGGCCTGTGGAGAAGAATAAGGGCATTGTTTCAGTGCGAGTGGCTTTACAGGCAAGGCTGTCACTATTCGGGCCCAGAGTTAAAACCGCCTCTTTCGCGATCAGCAATCCAACTCTCTCATTAAGCAAATCAGCACTACGGTGAAACTCACCATGCTGGCTATATGTCCGTGCTGGCTCCTCTTGTCCCAAAATTTCATTATTGATGATTGATGAAGTGGGTGGTGATATGGGGCGGTGGCTAGGTCATGTGGGTGCTAGGAGACATGTAGCTGATGAGCATGCGCGTATGCATGTGCATGTGTGTAAACAGGGCATCATGCAATCAAATGAATTGGCGCTCTATACCGAGGCAGACAGCAGCGCATATGGTAAGACGGCCCCCTAGCCAGACGGTGACATGCCACACCTCGGGGTTCCCAGGGATCCTGTGGCAGCACCTCCGTGTGCACACCGGGCCGGTCGAGGTGGCTCTCCCCTGCGGAGCTGCACGACTTTACATCCTCGGTTTTCTCCTCCTTGAACAACAGAAAAAGAAACTTAAAATCTAGGGCACTATATTTAGATTAGAACACATCATGAGGAGATTCTATTACACAGTACTGTGCAAAGTCTTAGGCAGTCAAAAGGAATGTTTAAAGCTATTTATATGGGTAGTAAGTGCACAATTGCTCAGAAACAAAAAACACAATTTAACATTGGAACATATGAAAATGCACAGTAACACAATAAACACAAGTAAGAATTTCTTCTGTCCTCTAAAAGGTTACTGAAATCAAGTTGGACGGCTAGATGAACACTGCTTTGGATCCCAAACCTCTCCTCAGGGACACCCCAGTCACTCCATGCATTTATTAAATCTCACCACCAGCTCGTGTAATTAATTTATTTAATTAGTTTAAAAAGCCAATGAGATATTGATTAGCTATATGAGGCGTGCAAGTGGTTGCATCTAAAAATACATGGGTGTGTTAGATGGCTGCTGCAAATACTGGGGTGATCTTAGCTGAGGTTTTGAAATGGCTACACTGACACACTTTCACAGACATAATATTATAGTTTTTCATAAAGATTATCATTTTCTTTGGCTCCCTAAGACTTTTGCATAGTACTGCACATAGATTGATACGACTGAAACAGGCAATCAGATTATGCCAAATCAGCTGAAGGTAGCATCACATTTCCCATGGAGCAGCAGGTACTGGCCTTCCTCCCCCTACCCTACCATAGCCTCCATCTCAGACTCTTCTTCTGATGGACTTGCATATTCTTTTCTCTTCCTCTTTTTCATTGGCTTCAGCAGCTCTGGGTCCAGAATAGACGCCTGGTTCCTTGAACTCCACTCTTCTGTCTCAGTTCTGAAAGCACACGTACACAAACCCATCAGGTGGTGCAGGTTCTGCTCCCCTTAAAATGCCCGAACTCTGAGGTATGACTCTGATCTGAGGTCCCAGCTTTGTGATCTTTTTAGCAGTTCTTACTTGTTACTGACTAACTCTCGGCGCAGCTCTTCTGGGCAAATCTTCTTCTCCACCACATCGCAGAGACCTGAATGCTCCTGAACCTTGGATTCCTCCTTGATGGACAGGTTCTGTTGTCCTGCACAGCTGCTCATAGGACCAAGGGCTATTGTATCTGCATGGGATTCATTTAATACTATTATTTCTAATAATAATAATAATAATATGCAACATTTAAAAGTCAGTTGATTTCATGTTACTGAAATTTCAAACAAGATTTCTACTAAAATTACCTTTGCTCTGGTGTTCTGGAGATGGGGAAATCTGTTCATAGGTACAGTGTTTTATTGCTTTTCTGGCTGGCCTCTTGTCCGCAGGCTCCTCCCTCCCAGCAGCCACCTCTGCCAAGGGTTCAGTACTGCCCACCTTCTTATCACTCACCACTTCAAGGGTGCCGGTGTCGTTCATTCGAAACTGCAGCGCAAACACTTCCTCCATCAGCACACATCTTGCATGAGCGTGTGATGTCTTGTGGCTGATTTCAATCAACGTGACCCAGAGCGGTCAAAGTCAAATCCATTCTAGAGGATCAAGCTGTGAGTGCTTTGGTTGTGGCTGAGCAGGGCACAGATAGCTTACCTTCAGGTTGCTGCCCGGTAATATTGCTACTCCTTCCTTCCACTCCAGCACGTGGACGATGCTGCAGGCTCCGCCCACCTGAGGCGGCAGGACAGAAGGCTCCAGATTGCCAGCCACGCCCCCTTTCACTGTCTCAGTCATACTGTGGGAAACGTCCCCCTTCTGTTCAATATGAGCGTTAGCTGAGGAAAGAGGACCACAGAAGTGAAAAGGCAGTCTCATATTTTACCGTTCAGGCAAACTCCAGTATCACCAGTATCTGCTTTGGGCAGTACTGAGTAGACTGGTTTATGGTTAGCCTTCAACAATGCATGACTGATTGCCCAAGCAGATTTGCAAAGTAACATCTCAACTTACTGTTGGTCACAAGCAAAATCAGCTGAGAGCAAATGTCAATCCTGTGTGTCAGCAGAGTTAATCAAACACTAGTGAACATTCTCCACCTACATCCATGGGATATTAACTGATCTGAATTGATCTGACAGTCACTGAAGAATTACACCATATCTGCCCTGCACAATTCAAGACACTAGCAGACAGCACAAAGATGGATACAGTCACATGACTGTACCTTAGATTACATTTCAAACAATATCGTCAAAGTGCATTTAAAGGAAATTCCACCGAAAGTTAAATTTCATGCATTTTTTCTGTACACATAAGTAAGAATACACATATTTATTTTTTCTTAGGAACTACAATAACATTTCTGCATAGTTTTTTATGACATGTACATCATTTAGTTATATAATTTCCAGCAAATATTTTATTACTATGCAGACAATGCTTTTGTAAACCAAATATTAATAGAAATCGATTGGTAGAAACCAAAATGTACTATGATTAGGGAAGAACATAACTGGTATGGCATTCACCATATAATGCGATAAAACACATAAAAAAAGTATTTGCATTGTTACGAAAAGAAATCGTCACGTGTATCGCTTTATATGGCAAACGTGTTCTGCAATGTGCATCCCTGATTGTGGCCTAACCCTCCTTGTAAAAAATCTTTCTCAAACGACTTCCAGTACAAACTAGGAAAAAAAAAATATTTGAGAGTGAGTGCGAAATTCCACTTCTTGTTTTTGTAATATAATTTTCCAACAACAAGAAACAATTAAATATTTAATAGAATTCCTGTTTAACGTTATAGCCCAGGAACTTAAATGAAATCAACTAACTACTTACATTCTTTTCAACACAGTCTTACCCGAAATGATGAAGGAAGCAGCAGTCTGGGAACATGACTTCTCAGTCAAGCCCTCATCAGACGGCAGGACACTGGAGGTGTCGGCAACAGCTGCATCTCCTCCTGCTGCCGGGACCTCTAAGTCCACTTTGGCACTCATTACTACCGTCCTTCTGTGCTACTGTAGAAAGAAGCATGTGTCAGGTACCCAGAATACAACACTCCAGCATCTACACAAAAGTTATCTTTCATTTTTCAAACTTCTTAGCCCTCTTAATAATAGCTGCATTTTTGGCCAACATCTGGTCTCTTCTTCTGGCTTCCGTGGCTGGCCCACTAAAGAACACCATAATAAATCCTACAGGTAAAAGAAGTAACTGAACTAGATGCTGTCAGAAAAACAATGTTTGTCCCAGAAGGCCCCATCACCCCCTGCCCCCTCACCTAATCCCTCCTGCTACTAGAGGGCCACCGATCCGACAGTCGTGATCGTTATCGACCCTGATCCATACCTAATCAGACAGATCGGCCATATGTGACAGATCCATGAACAATATTTACTTATGTAGTTTTCAGCAGTCTGTAAACAGATAGCTACTATTTCTTGTTAAATCGATCTGTACAATCTATTCCACAACAGCCCATTCTAGATTTGCTCTAGCGGCATTCAAGCTGAGCGCTAATGCTGCCACAAATGCCTCAAAAAAGCTTTAACAGATAAACAAATAAAAAGATGTACAGATGAGGTGGAACAGTGTGTTATGTATGTTTCTAGCAGCAAATTAACAAAGCTTCTTTAGCATACAATCTGATTTGTATTTTCTAGTCTAAAAAAGAGCTTCGGATTGGTACTCATATAGGCCAATACCCTCTGTTCAGGTATCAGGATCGTTTCGGCACTGAGAAAGTGGGATCGATGCACCTCTATCTCCTACACACTCTCACTCCCACTCCAAAAAAAAAATAAAAAAAAACTTATTAAAAAGCTTAACAGTGTGTAACTTGTCTCAATGTAATCAGGTTTACGAAAACTACATCTGTAGCTGTCCTTTCATGGGCCACCACAAAGTGACACTGATTCAATTTTGCAGTGATTTCTCTCAAAATGAAATAGGCCCCAGATCATCACCTATACAATGTTCCTGGGAAGTTGGAAAAAGAGCCATTAAATACTGTTATGGTTACTGTGTTCACAAGATCAAGTGTCTTCTGTAGCCGCCCTTTCCTTCCTTTGCTGCCACCTAGCATTGCTTCAATTTTGGTGCAACTTGTCTCGAAATAAAATCAGGTGAAGATCTTCATCCATGACATGTTCTTCTGTGAAGTGCAAACGAGATCCATCAAATACTTTTGGAATGATCGTGCTCATAAGTAGTGGTCGATTTTTCAGGGGCCAATGCCAATGCTCATTTTATTGTAGTGGGAAGGGCCAATGGCAGATTTTTTTAAGGAAAAAATACCAAAAGAGTAACACAACTGTTTAACTTTCGATATTTATTTAACATTAATATCATACAAAAACAATAATAATTTAACTCTCATAGTTTAAACAAGGGTATGTAGCAGTTTAAAAGCAATAGAAGACAAAAACTATAACTGAACTGTTTAAATATTAATCACTTTAAACAATGGCATGCAGCATTTTAAAAGTGATACAAAAAAACAGTAACTTGATATTTTCTGGATTTTATAATTCAATTTCTGACAAAAGGAACAAAACAATATGTTTCAAAACTGAGATCGTTTCGGCTTTGTGGCAACGTTATTCATCAAGTGAAACTGATATAAGCGGGAGGAATTTAGAACTCTTACCTTTGACTGTCATGTAGGTTCACTACTATTGGTGCTGATAAACCACACTACAACAAAGACGTCAATCAGGTGCAGCCACACACAGCTATGCTTCACTATGTCGGCTATGTAGTATGATTAATCGTCTAATACTGACTGCCACTAAATGCTTAAAATTGGCCAATTTTTGTTTCTGGTCAATCGAATTGTCGACCTCTACTCACAGGGTCCAGTGTTTTCTGCAGTCACCTTTCCCTTTGATAACACTAAGCCTAGTTGCAAAGTTTGTGTGTGCAAAGTTTGAAAAAGATCCATCAAATACTTTTTGCGTTATCATGCTAACAAGATCAAGTGATTGAGGCTGCCCTTCACTTTGTTATCATTATGTAGCACTGCCTCAATTTTGGTGCCATTTGCCTCAAATTGATCTGCTCCAGATCCTCACCCATACAATAAATATGCAAAATTTGAAAATTTCTGTCGAATACTTCTTGAGTTATCACATTAATGGCAGACCAGTCCCCAAACCATATGTATTCCCCTAGTCTTTTAGAACAGGTACAGTCAGATGTCAGCATATGCCTTAGGGAGTATGCGTCAGAGATGTAGAATCCTGTCAACTCTTAGAAACATTTATAAATTTATATTATTTAATAACACACATATATAGGGGTTTGTGATATGACCAAAATCTCATATCCTCGTAATGATACCTTCAAAATATAGGACATTTTCTATAAATTCAATGAAAATAAGGTTTATATAAAATGACCAGATAGAAAGACCTATTTCTTATCTTGAATTCTTTACTCGATATTAAAAAGTACTTACTCATATTTAAAATTTTTGCCTTTTATTCAGAATCTGTGTACAAATTTCCAATTAACTGAAATTAGGTTTACACAATTAACCAGCTACAATGATTAATGCTGATAAGCACATCTAAGCCAAGCACTTGCTCTCAGCCACAGTTTACCAATATTTCTAGCACTGATATATGTGTGTAGGACTGTACGATATGATGTTATATATCATGTGATAATAGAAAAATATATTTGTCGTTTATATCACACTCTTACACACGGCACGGAAGCAATCAGGAAATTTGAGTGAAAACCCTGATTGTCGCTGCCCGATTTGCAGTCACATGCGCACTAAGTATTGCACATGCCTATACTGCACAGCAGTTCACAGTGCCATCTAATACCACACATGCCTACACCGCACAGCAGTTCACAGTGCCATCAAATACCGCACAAGCCTACACCGCACAGCAGTTCACAGTGCCATCAAATACCGCACAAGCCTACACCGCACAGCATTTCACAGTGCCATCTAATACCGCACATGCCCCAGCAGTTCACAGTGCCATCAAATACTGCACATGCTCCAGTTTTCTATTTACCTTTTAATGTTTTATACATTAATATCCTGAATTTTGTTATATGCTTAATACAATGAAATATTTCAGACTTATACATATTTCTTATTATAAACTAGAATTTCATGTTTTAAATGCTTAGATTGGAAAATATATCACTATCTTGCCTAAACTTTTGTATTTAACAAAATAAACATACAGTAGACACTGCCAATTTATACAGTTGCTTGAGAGACTACAAGTTCAAATACTTTTACCTTAATACTTTATGTATATTTCCAAGCAAATCCTTACTTACTTTTACTTAAATAGAAAGGCCAATGGGGTACATTAGCTTTTACTAGAGTACATTTTTTGCCTGTTTTTTTTTTGCTTCTATGTAAGAAAATTGTTTGAGTACTCCCTCCACCACTATTCACAGTTAACTACAATGGTAAAAGAGTAGGCGAATAAATTCAGTGTTTCATGCCTTATCATTAGTTTAGCTATGCAAATGAACTGTAGATAATTTCTTTATTTGTCTTATTGTAAGAATACATGCTCAACATGAGAATATTTTATGCAACCAAGTGTCAATTATCAAAATCTGGCTTTACTAGATAACAAAGTAGCAGTATTCATCTTATCATTGTAGGCATGTAGCCATGCTGTTCTTTTCTGATGGGTTACTTATTATGTTAATATTCTGTCTGTCAGTTGCTTTCAGTTCTTAAAAATGCATACAGGTATAGCTCATTTTTTGTGTGCAATAGGAGGGACCATTAATCTGTATTGGATAGCGGCTTTCGGGAATCAAAGTCATATTTCAGGCATGCATAATTCACAATACTTATTTTTTAAAACTAGACCTCCACTAAAAGATGGGACCCCGCAGCTCAGACAGTACTATCAGAGGCTGCACGACTAACGGACCAATCTGGCCACGATTCTTCTATAGTTTATTTCAATTTTATTTCTATAGTGCATTTTCACGACATCACATTGTCTCAAAGCACTTTACATTATTCTTGCCCAATGCCCCCAGAGAGAAAACAGCGGAATATTTTTCTGCCACTACACATTTACTCAGTTTTGGTACCTCATGTAATATATTTCTTCTCCATGGAGGTGGATTTGGTACAGATGATGTGGAAATGGGAGGATGGAAAGTTAACTTTAATAGGCTTCTGGGTTCTTCAAAAGAAAAAGGCAAGGCAAATACAGAAGTCATTATACAAGAACACAATACAGAACAGTACCCTGCTCATGACATAATGATAATATAATGATAAAAAATATATATCGTGGCCACGTTTTACTAATTCGAACCTGACTTTTAGTCGGAGCGTGGCTACGTTTTCATTCGTTCCCGGAGTAAAACGTGGCCGTGATTTAATTAAAATGAGGGAACGAATTCGTAAAATGTGTCCATGTTTTAGTATATCCTCCCCAGGACATATTAAACGTGGCCACAATATATTATTTTTATCATTATGCCATTAGCGGGGCGCCGTACATTCTGTTGCTTGCGTGAAAGCAATAAAAGAGCAGCCAGACAAATTAAATAAATTGACCTGTAGCTAACACTGTGCGGTGGCCAGTGAAAGTTAGGACAGCTTAACAGTCATCCTAAAGTTAGGAGACTTTACTTAAGATGTTGGGAAGTTAGGAAGCTTGTGTAATATACTTTTCCTAAGTTGGCTTAAGGTTAGGGTTAGCGTTATATAGGAACAAAGACTCATTTTAAGAACTAGCTGTTAATCTGTAATTGATTTTTCCTAAATCAGGTCCTAACCCAAGTTTAAAAAAAAAGCAGAACATAGGATCTGCAAATTAGAAAGTTTCTGTAATATGGCCCCCATGTGTGCATGACTACAAATATAAGACATGATCATGGTGTAATTTAACTTCTGTTTAATGTCGTGTTTAGCCCACATGTAAGTTCATCCATATACTTTTCCCCAGGGACACACAGAGATATAAATCTAATGTTAGTGTACGTATTACAAGTTTTGTAATGGCTGAGGTCACATTAATATCAGAATCTGTGTATTGCATGGGGTTTAATTAATCTATGCATATTTCACTGATAATGTTAAAACATTATTATATGCTATTGCCACTGGTTTAATTCATTAATAAACCTGTTTATTTCAAAGCAACATAATATTTAAAAAGGAATGTTTTTCGGTATTGATTTAGTATTGATTGATATAGATATTGAGGTGCAAAAGCTGGTATCACTATCAAAGTCAAAATTTTGGTTTTGATCCAACACTAACTACAAGCATTGAAATAGGGCATTCCGTTGAACTTCCCTGGTACACGCAACAAGATAGGTCTTCAAAAAATAGTGGCAATCAATATGGAAGAAAATGTGGAGACCAGCCCAGAGGTTTTTATTTGAGAGATAAGGACCCTGAAAACAGAGATGTTCTTGAGATGAAAGTGTAGAAGTTCAAACCCAATGTGACCTTCTGAAAGAGGAATTTTGAAACCCCATGGATCAGGCAAACATGACAATTGCCATGCTGGAGACTCATTTGCTCTCTCAGGGAGAAGTGGAGGATAGTCATTCAGATGTGGTTACTCTTCAGCAAGAGGTAACAATTTAAATGGGACAGCGTGAAGTTAAAACAAAAACTGAGGATTGGGAGACTAGATCATGCCTTTGCAAGCTTTGGATAATGAGGGTGGAAGGTGTGAGGAAGGGAAACATGTCCTCTGTTTTGTATCACAACTATTCAAAAATGTTCTAGAGCTCGAAAAAGCTCTCCTACTACACCAGGGAGGGAGACAAAAAGACCAAGAGATGACCAGCCGAGAAGAGCACCGATAGGGAGCTGCCACTGTTTTCACGACCGTGAATTACTGCTGGGCAAGACCAGGCAGAAGAACGGGCTCACTACCTCAGCTGGGAAACATAACAGACATTCAATCTGATTACACCCAAAAAGTCATCAGATAGCAAGCTGCTTTCAATGAGGTGCAAGGTCTGTTGAGACGTTGCAAGGGATTGCATTCCAGAATGTTCTATCGTCGTGGGCTGAAAATCATGATGGAAGATGAAATTAGCCAGAGCATCTAAGACCCCAAGCAAGCCATGCAGTTTGTGAGTGAGAAGCTGAAAACATGATGCAAACAAACTCAGTCTCTCAAAACATGAGAGCAGCCTCTCATTTAGAGGCCAGCATGAGAGTAGGGTTATTGTTTTATTTTGTTGTCTCGTCTTGGTCTTTTTTGTGTCTATGTATGTCCTTCAGAAATATCTAATTCATATTCCATTTTTAGTGTATCTGTATATCTTCCTAAACAGCAAGGTAGGTGAAATAGAGGTGTTTTGTCATAAATTCATCACTCATCACTTCTTTGCTGCAGTGAGCAGGGGTTTACCCCCTCTGATACATAGGGATGTTGCATTTGAATAATCAAAGGCAATAGATAGAGATATCCGTATGTTTTGGTATGTAATAGTGTTTCTTGAAAGTCCCATGTACACAAGGGTTAAGGTGCTAAGTTATATTTTAAACACAACAAACCTACAAAACCCTTTAACGAGACATCACCCGAATATGCTGGTGCCAAACATTCTGCCAGAGCAGGTGGACCTTCTAATTACAAACTCTAATTTATGTTTTGACACATATTTTTAAGTTCAACATCCTTCTGAAACATGGCACATGAGTTTTAGACTGGCCCATTTTGATTTTCAACTATTCATTTTATTCTTTTTTTGTGCTTTGAAAGATACAGGTTGGTTTTGTTTTTCAAGAACTACACCCCTATTTTCTCAAATAAAATGAGATGGTATACAAGCCTTTGGCCTTTTCTTAAGTGGTTTTCATTTGTTTCCAGTGACATTGGTAAGTTTGTGATCCATTTTTAAAAAATCATTCCAAATATGGAAAGCTGCTATAAAATATCCATCCATCCATTTTCTGAAACCGCCTTATCCCAACTGGGGTCGCAGGGGGGGACTGGAGCCTATCCTGGGAACAATGGGTGCAGGCAGGAACCAACCCCGAGCAGTCGCCAACACACCGCAGGGCACTATATAATATTTCATATCATATTCCTAAGGAAGTGATACTGAATTGGAATCGAATCAAATGAAATTGTTAGCTTGTGAACAATTTCTTAGCTTAAACTTTTATTAGCTTGTTACCTAATCAAATCAGGGCATCTTGCCAATAGCTGGCCCTATATCATATATTAAGCATACTGACATACCTGTTATTATTTTGTATTAAATGTATTAACTGTTCAGTGTTTTAAAGTTCACATGATTGTGTTTCCTGTCACTTTTATTAACTACTATATTTTTAATCTGCAATAAAAACTGCTATTGTATGTATAAATTGGATGAAAGTAAAATATGTGACACCTAAAGCCCAGGAGAAAACATATCCTTGTTATTTCACCGGCTTTCAGAAAGATTTCAAGGTCAAGATTCATCCATATCAACATGTCTTCTTGTTGCAATATGTACTGTGCCTTTATCTTTGATGTTAATGTCCCTTTTCTGCTGTATGCAACAAAATTTCCCACTGGTACAGCTATCTGTGGAACAGGAAATTGTTGCTGACAAATCACCAAAACCGCAAACTGGTTAAATCTTAACCTCAAATTCATATCAAACACACACCTCTCCATTGCTACTTAACAGAAACTGCATAACATTTTTGTCATCTGATTGATGTTTGTTAGGCTATCCTGTGGGGATTGAAACATTGTAATAAAAGCAAATCCAAGACTTTGCTAGGTCACACACCTGGGTAACTGACAAAAGCTAAGGAATTCACCCATATCCTAAAATATATTTAAACAATAGGACTATATGATAACGCAGGATGATGAGTAGCTCACTGTTCCACAAAAGCAGCCAAGTTGAACAAAAATTACTATATAAAAAAGATTTATTGCTCACATCATGTTCATACATATACTCGACTGAAATGCTAAGTAAGTGGATTAACTTTCACATTGCGTCAGCCACACATTGACTGCATTTCATGATCAGGAAACCTAATGGCAAATTGTACCTAATGCAGGGTGTACCCAACCGTTTGCTAACTCCCTAGCTCCCCAACCCTAACCAAGACAAGCAGCTGGATTTCACTAAAACCTATATACATACCTATATACATAAGATATTGTATATGTTGTATCTATACAATTAGTTTAAGAATAAAATTATGCCCGTGCAACAATGGAAACAAAAAGCACGTTTTATTTATATCAATCATTCATGTAAAGAGAAATAAACATCTGATACACAACCTAGGCCAATAGCCTGGCCAGGATTTGCACATGCGCGTTAGTGTGATTCAACACTGCGCCCCTTTTTATGATTAGGGTGCTCGCAAGTGCTTAAATGGCCCATTTTTAAATCAATTTATATTGTTTTTAAGAACATACAATAAGAACAAAATATATATATGCTGTGCCAGATTGCTCTGTATTGCAAGGAGTCGTGTGAAATTACATTGATATAGTATTCATACCGTTTTCAAATGGGATTGCAAGTTTTATATAGCTTCACATGTACTTAGTAACTACGGGATTCGGTAACAAATTACATAAACCATAACAACGTACATGTGATTTCTGCACCAAAGTATAATGCTCAGGAGTAAGGCTTTCTGATAACTACAAAATCAGCTACATAGACAGGTAGAACAACCCTAACAGATTTGTCGCTTTGCAATACCAAAAATGTAACAGAAAAAGTACCTTTTCAAAAAGCTGGAAAATATACAGCTATTTATATTGTCCCTAAATCGCACAACTCCCGTCTGTTGTCAATGAAAAACATCAAACTACTTATTCGGGTATCATCAATACAGTTTAGAGATATAAAACAGACAGTGCTTGTATACGCTTAACCAGAACCGTTGCACTCTTTGCTTTGTATCAGTTAACATAAGAATGACCAAAAGCAATATAATATTTGGGACCATATAATATATCCTGATACATTTGCAATATGGCAGTGTTATATTGGTAACCCAGATATTTGTTTTAAATAAGCCTGCCTGCCGAATATAGATGCACACCTCGTTGTTATATAAATCTAAATTCACCACAAAATTTTACCGCATGTCAAAATGGCGGAATGGCTAAATTCCTAGAACCATACTTTGATGAAAAGCTACTAATATGACAAAATGTATCAGTAAACAATTGGATATTGTTTTCTAGAGATTAAAATAGCCGCCCTCGTTCCATATTATGCAACACTACGCTAACATCTTGGCTAAAGCACCGCTTCTATCTTGTTCCACATGTTTCAGTTAAATACTGCAAAATCTCATTTTTAAAGCACATTGCATGCTAATTGCCTTACAATTATTTTGCTCTCCATGGTTTTCTGTCTAGCAAGCGAACGATTGCTCTGGCTTAAAGAACATACGATTGCATAATATGGGTTCAATTTTCTTTGCTTTGTTTTCATTAGGGTTAATTTATTAATAAAAATCTAATTCATCCTGCCTAGCTAGGTAAGGGAATAAAATTATTCTTACCAGCCACTCGTCTATGCAGGTCAAAGTGTCCAAGTGCGCATGCGTGGATAATCCACAACGGTTCCCCGTTTTACCCCTCGAGGCTAACGCGAATGTTAGAGAAAAATTGACTTCTTGAGTAAAAACTTGAGATCGATTCTGTAATTCGCGTGATCGATTCCATTAATGCGTGTAAGACACGCAGCTTAGTAAATAACAAGGGGTATGGTGGAAGGTGTAAAACCCCTTTAAGAAAATGCAAGGCGCAAAGGCAAACCACCACCCTAGCACATAAAAGCAAAATAACATCCATACTTCCGATCATCACTGGATACATTAACATTACGACGGTTACAATTTTAAATCGAAAGGCGATTTTTAATAAATAGTGAAAAGTCGACACAGCATGACACAAAAATGAAACCCAAGTTTTTATTAACCTTTAATGTACAGTAAAAACCTGTCAGGCTTCACGAATATGCACACTGGAGAAAAAAAAAATGTGCGAAATAAAACAGCTTTTCCTAAACTTGCCTGTATAATCAAAACTCCTGATGCCAAGTTAATTTGGGGGAGGGGGGAAAAAAAATAAAAAATATGTGGCCTTCCTAAACCATAAGGCCTAACCCAAACTCTACTAGCAATCAGATTCTGACCAAGCAGTTCATTAAAAAAAAAAAAAAAAAAAAACAGCAGAGAATAACAGAATTAAGCTCTCAATAGTAAACAGGCCATCTTAAATTGAGTAGATTACAAAATGGACCTATATAGCACCTGCTCTGGTCCATAGCTCTTAGCAACTTATACTGATTTACACATCACTCCTTTTAATACCAAGAACCAATCGTTAGATTCTACTCAGGCAACATCACGTGTCCCAAGTGCTCGGAGACCAAATTAAGATAAAACCATAACATTTACAGGAGGCAACGTAATGTGTGTGAACTGACAGAAGCCCCTCTATTGAATGGGGGAGGGGGGAAAAAAACCTTCAGAGCATAGTATGAAGGCTGAAGCTTTGAGAGTTTTGTCATCGCCCTCAGTCTTGGGAAGCAGACCTAGAACGGGAACGCGAGCGGGACTGAGATTTGGAGCGAGATGGGGACCTGGAGGCCGAGCGCTTTGCTGGAGACTTTGGTTGGCCTTCATCAGCAGGAGGGGATGGAGAGCGAGAGGCTGATTTGGCACACTCTGCTTTCCCATTCTCCATCGGGGAAGGAGAGCGGCTGCGAGACTTCTCAACAGATTTCTCTTTTGAGTGACTACGCGAGTCACACTCCGATTTTGGGTTGGAGCGACTCTTTGAGCGAGACTTGCGATCAGCAGAGCGGCTGCGAGACTTCTGTCCCCGTGATCGGGACCGAGACTTCTGAGCACGAGAATGGGACCGAGATTTTCCATCCTGGGACCTAGATCGAGACTTTGCCCCACGGGACCTAGATCGAGACTTTGCCCCACGGGACCTAGATCGAGACTTTGCCCCACGGGACCTAGATCGANTTTGCCCCACGGGACCTAGATCGAGACTTTGCCCCACGGGACCTAGATCGAGACTTTGCCCCACGGGACCTAGATCGAGACTTTGCCCCACGGGATCTAGATCGAGACTTTGCCCCACGGGACCTAGATCGTGACTTTGCCCCACGGGATCGAGAGCGAGACTTTGCCCCACGGGACCTAGATCGTGACTTTGCCCCACGGGATCGAGAGCGAGACTTTGCCCCACGGGATCTAGATCGTGACTTTGCCCCACGGGATCGAGAGCGAGATTTCCCACCACGGGAACGGGACCTTGACTTCTTGTCACGAGATCCTGAGCGAGACTTCCTGGCATGGGATCGAGACCTGCAGGATGAAATTCATAGTAAGAGTACACCACAGGTTAACACCCAGCAGCACAAAATGTCCAAGTAGCTCACCGTGAACGTGATCTGGAATTGCTTCGTGATCGACTACTCCGACGGCTCCTGCTGCGTGATCGACGGCGGCTACGGGACCTGCATGTCACAAAGGGCACTAAGAATCCCCACTTCTCTGCAATGCACAGCGACAATAGTTTGTGTTCTGTGAAGGAGGTTCTCAAAAACTGGCAGGCAAAAAGCAAGGAAAATGTCTCCTTGGCACCGGCATAAGATCTCTAAAACACCCAACCATGTCAATGTGCACAAACCAGTATTCAATATCTAGTCCAGGGTTCTTCAACTCTGGACCTCGATTCCAAATCCAGGCCGTGTTTTCAGTTCTCCCAGGTAGTTGTTTAATAATTACTGATTCTGATTGGTCAAAGGCTTCACACCTGACTGACAGGTAAAGGAAGGCTGGAAAACCAGCAGTGCTCGGACCTCGAGGACCATGAGTTGAATAACCCTGATCTAGTCAATCTGCGACACTGTCAAACATCGTATATCCTCCTTGCCTCCTATAGGGCATCCAATACAGCCGTATTATTCAGAAAGATATCCATCCCATAACTAACAATTTCAGCATATTAACTACAGAAAACCAACCAGATGGCATACATAAGAGTTATTAGGTGAGGGGCTTACCATTTTTTCTTGATATTCCTCATATTAAGTAGTGTTTGTATCCATCAGTAACAAGTGGTGTTCAAATGTAGATTCAAAATAATTGTTCAACTTAAAGTAGACCCTTATATCTGCCAAGTGAGTTTACTGCTGATGTCTTACTGGCTGTTCACATACTCCCCACATACTCTGCATCAGCTATTGGGCTTCTTGGCAACACCAACACACTAGATCCCATACACCTAGGTGCTGTGTTCACTGTCACTAATAGGGCTGCACGATTTGGGGGAAATATTGAAGCACGATTTTTCTGACAGAAATTGCGATTACGATTTGATTTGCGATTTAATTTTTTTTATGTCAAGCTTCAGTTCAATATTCAGTGTGTAGTAATTTTAAAACATATGACGCAGCATGAGATACCATCAGTATTAACTGGTCTATATTCTAATGCAAGGATGAGAAGTTAAAGATGTGATGTGTCAAGTTAAAGTAATAATGAAAACAATTGCAGCAAAGAGAAAAATAGCGATCTTGCAGGTAACGCTGATTACCCTACTAATAACACTAGAACCGCCTTTTCTCACGCCAATGAACAAGCAAGAACTACTTCTGTGTATGCAGCCCTTTTGTTTGCGCTATTGTGTTATTAGTGTTAATAACAGCAGCTAACAACACTCAAAGACGTAATGTTCATAACAGAGCGGTTGTTCTGTCCTGAAATCATAAAGCTGGAAATTTTTAAACGTAGTATGCATTTTATAAAATGTTGAATAAATAGGTTGTTTAATGGTGATTTCATGTTGGTCGAAGTTTCCACTTAACTTTATACGGTTATTTTCTATACAAATTAATTCAGGTGAAACAAAAAATGTACGTGTTTATGGTTGCAAACTTTCAGACTCACCCAAGAAATCTTACGACAAATCTATATTCCATTCTGAACTTAATATTAGCTTAATCAAAAACGTTACGGCAGTTTGCAAACCCTACAGACTATTTACAAGGTAATAAAACTTATACATGTAAATGTGTGTGCAGAACAGAGAACAGATCGAAAATCTCACTCCATGCAGCTGACCAAAGTTGCCAACCCTGCATTTTATTTTAAATGAACGTAAAATGCAGTTTGACAAGCAGCTTATCATTCCTTTACTTTGTTACTCGGACAAATACAAAACGAATGATTAAACATTATACGCGTCTCTTTTTGCATGTTTTCTAAATAAGACCACGTGCCCATACCAAACTGCAATATCGATTAAAGCGATCTACTTCTGATAGGTGAACATGACTGGCACGCGAGAAGCACAGCGCTTGTGATTGGTGAGAATGACTGTCACACAGGGAGTACTGCATGAATTTGTAAAACTATTCTCACCGCAGTTTTAAACCCTGGGTCCGACTTGCTGTATAATGTATATCCTAAATCGCAGCTTTTGCGATTTGCTAATCGCGTTGTTTCAAATCGACTTGAAATTGAAAAATCGTCCAGCCCTAGTCACCAATACACTTGGTATTCCAATACACTAACAGTACATGTGACAGGTGCGTACAAGGTGGTACACAGTCAGACCAAAGCCCCCTGTTCCTCTACCCAGCATACAGGTAGCTCATCAAGCAAGCCCCCTCCCCAATAAGTAAATCTGCGAAAATGTGACCTGAAGAACCTGACCAGGTGCTTCAGCAGTGCTGAACACGAAAGGGAAGGCATTTAGAACCACTGCTACAACAGAGGATTGTACTGTTGGTCTAGAGGAATGCGCCACAGAGGTAATCAGCAACATGAATACCTGCACTGAAAACTTTCCTAAGACAAGGATATACCCAAGCCATAGCCCATGCTGCACACCAGCTTCACTACATTTGTCATAGTTAACGCTGATCACAAGGTGGCCAGATTGCACAGATTGACCCAAGAGTCATATGAAGCATCTGTGGCCAATCAGAATCAGTAATTGTTTACCTACCTGGGAGACCTGAAAACAAGACCTGGATTTGGAATTGAAGGTCCACCTAGGACACTAAGAACTGGCATGCACACAGTCCTCTCACACCTCAAGTGCAAAAGCAGCCATGTTATAATGTTATTTACTTACTAGTCATTCCATCAAAACCAAGAAACTCCTCACCTGAAGGCCACCTTCTACGACAGGGTCACGTACTTTCTATCTCGGTACAAGTTAAGAGCCGACCTTAGACTACAAACACAAGGGCCACACAGCCAAGTCTCGCACTTCAAATTCCTCAGTGTTCACAGCAGAACAAGCATAACCATACAAGTAATTCTGGTAGCCACCTTGATCGGCTGCCAGAATAGGACCGGCGCCGACGTGGTTTGTCCTCCACAAGGCGAATCTTCCTGCCATTGATGTCAGTCCCATCCAGCTTGTCAATGGCTCTCCTCATGTCGGAGTGGGAGCGGAACTCAATCACACCCTCATTGGTGCGCTCCTTGTGGGCATCCGCATATGTCACCTCACCCGCCTGACGCATGAAGTCCTGTGTGGAGAGAACAACACGAGCATGATGCATCAAGGGTCAGCCAATTTAAGACCATCAATACATTTTGCTAAACAAAACCCTGATGAGCTCTTCAATTTCAGCTGCTCCTTGTAGACTAGCAGGCTATACAATGTGTTAAAGGTTTTTCTTCATATGCATTTGCATGAGCTGTGTATGCACTCTGTGTGCAAATCAAACTTTCACACTTGCTGCTGGTCAGCAAGAGACAAACTTCTATGGTTTTGAAATACAGTGGAAAACACTTATAGTAATAAGGTTACAGTGATCAACCGCTTATATGGATCAAAAAGCTTGGGACAGAATCATTCCTGCACAGATACTGTTTAAATACTTCACTTAGCTACCTGAGGCTAATGAGGCGTGCAGAGAAAACATGACGGGAAAAAGAAAATCATCATCTCTCAATGACAAAGTCTCATTAAAGCTAATGATAAACTGCCAAAAACGAGCCACTGAGATGCAGCAACAAAATCACAATAAGCACTTTGAGATAATGTAATGTCGTGAAAATACACTGTATAAATTGAAAATCATGTACAGCACCGTATTATAGCGTATTATACACAGTTCAGTGGGGCAATTTAATTTGCACAGTACTGGAACAGCTGTATTGCGTTTTGAAACCAACAAAATTAAGCAAATAGACGCTATCCATTTTATTACCTTGCATCCATTTAATAGAAACACAAAATGTCAGATGGTAATCTGCCTGTGACTTTCTTCATGTTATAATGATCATCCGCTTATCGTGATCAATTTCACACAGAGAGGGGTGATCACTATAAGTGGTTTCCACTGTATTTGATTCCATAGATGGCAACACCAACTTATTTGACAGACACTCTTGGTAGATATATCCAATTTGCCCAGTCCTCATGCCCACCTTGAGGTCCTGCCAACTGCAGCGGCTGGACAGATTCTCCACAATGAGCCGGTACTCAGTGCGAACCGGTGGCCCATACTTATCTCTTCCGGAGCGGCTCCTGCTGTAACCACTATTGCCTTCAAACAGGAAGAACAGACAATTAGCATGGTGAAATGGCAAGAACACAGATTCTCCAAAGGATTTAAAAAAGGGAACCTTATCAAAATAAAGAGACATGGGGAGTCTGGATCTGGACCTTGAGACAGTCCTTGTTGACTTGCGCATGAAACCTTCCTCATGCTCAAATGACCCTTGAAGAGAGCAACTTATTTTAATAACTACAGTAGTCTGCAAACCTGACAGAAGTGGGCTGCTATTCTCAAACAATGCCAACCTGTGTGTACTATAAAATATCACAAGTGAAGTGGCTGCAGAAATCTAGATTGCTGTTCCTGGTCAAAATTCCAATGAGCAGCAATGTTTTCCAGGAAATGATCACAGCAAAAAAGCAAAGGACACTTAAAACCACAAACCCAAAGAAAAAAATGCATTTAAAAAAGGCAGAATCATCAGTCTACCATAAAAATCTAAGTGACATTGCATTTAAAAGCGGTGGTATTACTGGCTTACAAGACACACCCACTGCTTGACTGATGACAGCCAGACTCGAAGAAAACTGCTTTTACAAAGCAGAATATACTGCGGCAATATCACGCTTCTGCTAATACCACTCCGTTATTTCTGTCAACATAAAAACCAACGGGATTCCTCACCATCACCCTGGTCTATTGGCAAAAGGCTGTTGTCATCATGGCTTCCGGTTAGGTCAGCCAAAGGGTCAAAGGGCAAAGGTCACACACACATTGTAAGGTGAAAGCCAAGGCCACAGGGACAGGCAGTCATCTTAGCCTCAATGGACTCGGACTCAGCCCGCAGTGGACTCTTTCAAATTGAAACATCAAGGACTTTGTTAATGATAAATTGAGATGGTAGATACATTGCAACTTCACAAGTTATAACCTCGGTTATTTACATGACAGCTGTTCTACTTATTTTCCAGCCAATTCGTCCACCACTTTACCAATTGCTTCCAGCTAAACACCAAATATTTAAAGTACATTTGACGTTTTAAATTTTGCAGCTGCCTTGCAAATATACCTGACCCATCCATCCCCCAACCCCCAAATACAAATAAGGTTATATGTTCCACCAGTAGCTATCTCGCCACCACATGGAACACCATCTTGTGACTTTGGTCAGTGATGGAAATGAACTGGATAAAGAAACACAATCCCACCTGAAGTTGCAAGGAAAACTTACTCTCCCACCCACCATTTGAATGCAAACTCGCTCAAAAAGATTCTAAATTAAAACTTCACCACAAAAGTGATTTAATTATCCCACCATGGTCCATGTTACTGGACACGCGCATAACACACAAGTACTGCAAGCAGTTATTAGACTTGAAGAAACTTAAAGAGAACTTAAAGGGAAACCCAAGTCGGGTAAAGCTACACGTACGCTAAGCTACTCTGGGATGCGTGTTGCGTGCCTTGACCGGGTTTATAGCGCCCACGCCCCCATGAAGCCCCACCATATCCGTCGCGATCACGCCGAGGTCCCCTGGCGTGCTCCACGATGACCCGCTCCCCGCACAGGTCCTTCCCGTTCAGCTCGTAGACCGCGTCGTCTGCATCGCGGGTGTCGTCGAATTCCACAAAGCCATACCTGAAAAACAATGCGTTGCATATTTACAAGATAAACCAACATGATTTTGCTTTCAAAGTACCACATTAATGATAAACTGAAGCCGCCATGAACTTTTCAAACTAGCGATCAACCCCTAACGCTTCGACTGATAATAAATAAAGTCCCGTTATAAGATCCACCCAGCTGCAGATTCGTATGCAAACCGTCCTCAGTAATAACAGCCTACAGGGGCTTAAGCGCGCGCATATCATCTCGTATTTAACCGATAAAGTCCTCTGTCAAACAACTGCAATAGATCAAAACGTGCAACAATGCAGAATTAAACTACATCTCTTCGACTTACCACCTGGTTAAAGTTACGCAGAACTGTGTAGCAACATACAGCCGAAGCGAACTGCAGACAAGTAGCAAACAAACATGGCTACCAAGCCAGCCGACCCCCAATTAATACAGTAACGGCACGGCGCGTACGGAACACAAATTTCATTTCAATGTTAAGTGCTATTCGTCTACCGGTCGGTTACAATCGTTCTCCCTGCAAGAACACAGATTCCAAACATGCCACAGACACCAAAGGGAGGTAGCGGGACGCCACAGGGGCCGCCAGGGAGACACACGGACAGGCAGCGGCGGCGCAACTCGCTCGCGCGGCCATTTTGTGCACGCTGCAATCCCGCGTGTTCGCCACAGAAACGGCGTAACAGCCATTAACTTCAAAATACTGCTTTCTTTCGGACCATAACTGCGTCCACTGTCGAATCGGAGATTTTTTTAGTTAACCGGGCCTAAGAAGACGCACTGAACTTCCTTCAATGTCCAGACCGAACACACGGGCCCTTGTCTATCTTACCCGTTTTTCAAATCGATTTCCAGGAGTTTTCCGTAACCGCTGAAAAACCTCTGGATGTCCTTCTCTCGAACATGATAACTCAATCTGCCTATATAGACACGAGGCATGTTGGTCAGCCGTTCGAATTTTGCCTTCTTTTCACCAACTTTGCTTGCCACTCTGAAATACAAATAACCTCCGCCAGCAGCCCCGTCTACATAAGAAGTAAAAAGCGGCGACTCGCGCGGGCACCAAATAGCCGGCGACGTGCTTTCGTCACGCGCCTAGTAACCTGCTCAGCGGCGACCCCGAACCTGCAAACAAATGACGCAAACCGGCACCTTCCCACTACAGTAATTACCCGTATTTCGTTCGGTTCCTTTCTGTGCATGCAAATTAGTTCACTAAATATTCTGCTGAAAACTAATGCAGGTGGAGACTAATGCACACTTCAAGATTCAAGAGATTCAAGATTCTTTATTTGTCACATACATAGTTATAACAAGTACAACATGCAGTGAAATGAACCCTGACCGATCCACTTCCATTTTACCTTCAAAATATGCATTGAGGCAGAAATTGTATTTTGAAATATGGAAACAATTTGACTTTCATAAACGATTATATATTAATTTGTCTCGAAAATTTGTTTGAGCGCAAAGTAGCATATAATTCAGTGTGCGAAATACGGGGGGTCCGACACCCCCGATTAACCTATGAGACCCAAAGCTTCAAAAGCAAAATTTTAAGGGGGTCTCAAGATCGGTATTGCGCAACAATAAGGAGATGGGGACCCCCCCGAATACTGATGAGTATTTCACACACTGATATAATTTCATACTTTTATCTTATTGTTGGGTACTAAACGACTATTAATGGTCTGAGTGACCATTGATTCCTGGCTGCATTATTTACAAGCATATAACTTTGGAAAAAGTTGAAAAGTGACCACAGCAAAATTTCAGTTTCACTCATCAATTTATGGGTGTGCGTCTTCTTTGCTTCTCACTGATGAAGGACTTCTTCCTTGCTTTATAGGTCTTCAGTCCTGCTTCTAGGAGCCTAGCAGTGCACTTCACACCACTTAATGTTTCCCATTCTTCTTGAAGGTCATCCTCCAATTTATAAGGCACTGGCATTAGAAAGTCTCTTCTGCCCTCTACCTGGCTAGTTTTTGGTTACTGCCAGTGTCTCCTGCTTCACCTTGTTCTTGTGTACTGCTGTGTTAGAAACGTTGAGCCTGTAAGCAGCCTGCCTCGCAGTGTAGCCTTCTGCCAGCAGAACCAGGAATTAAAAATGCAGATAAAAAATAGAGCGGTCTCTTAATTTTTCCCGGAGCTGTATGTTTAGTAACCAGCAAACAGAGAAGTAGTATTTGATTTCAATGAGTTTATTTAGCTTTGCACGTTTTATTTATATGTGGCAACTGATGGTAAAATGGACCTCGGGTTTATTTGTAATACCCAGTAGCAAAGAATCACCTATAATTCAGATTTTTTTTTTTAAGTACTCGAACCAATAGTATTCTACATATTGTGAACTGCACCTGTTCGATTTAATTACAACATATTTTATATTGCCTAAATGAATCGCATTATTGTACTAAATTGCAGGTATTATACGATATAGTGTAATACAATGAAACACTAAATGATTGAAGTAAGTCTAATTAGCTTTTCAGATTGTCAAAGAATACTGAGAAACATTCAATGGGCCCACAACAAGAGCAGTCAATACTACAAGACAATTGTTTTAAAATCAATATAGGCCTATTACAGCATTGTAAAGTACTTGTAAAATGGTGTTGGACTTTAGCGGACTTTTTAACTAGTTCAAATTCCAACTACCATTGAAATGAATGAGAAAATCGTGTTGATTCTCACTAGCTAAAGCATAATTTCCGATATCAAGAATTGGTATTTAACTAGTTAAAATTGAATTTCTGATATCAATATTTTGCATTCTAACTAGTTAAAACTGAATTTCTGATATCAATATTTTGCATTCTAACTAGTTAAAACTGAATTTCTGATATCAATATTTTGCATTCTAACTAGTTAAAACTGAATTTCTGATATCTTATAGAAATGGATTAAAGTTAATATGGCTTGCCATACCTCGCAATGTTCTCGCAATTGCGGTTAACACGACAGCTACATCTATTTGGAATTCACCTAATCACCACTAGATGTCACTTTTCTTGTGTTTTATTTGAAACCTTCTCCGCACGTGTTTTATCTGTGATTTAAGGAACCACACAGTCTAAGCACGTTCCAGTCGGATAATTAATACATCAATAACCTTTTTTTGTACTTTGACATCTTTAAACCCATAAGCTATTGCATTATGCAAGCAACCACGATGAATCCTTGGAACAAATGTGTGTGTAACTACCTAGGTTAGGCTACATTTAATATCTCAAGGTATGTGGCCTAGATTTCAAAACCAGAGAAGGTTATAATATACATATACATATATATATACACACACACACACACACACACACACACACACAATTTCTTCTTATAATTTTTTAATTCTTTTAAATTAACAAGGTGCTCTTATAAACTAACTGTATTGCCCTTAGTCTAGGTAGGGAAGCTGTGACAGGTAAGCGGGAGACTGAAGTGCAGTGCACCTTCTCTTCTACCTAAACTAAACATACAAGCGGTGGCATCTGCCCACTTTCCTAGTGTGACTTAACAGCTACACCCTGTGTGGATATTTAGGTGCACAACTCATGTCTAACTGGTCTCTTAGCTGGTGCATAAATGCAAGACGAAAGAAGTCAGACTCAAACATAGTGCATACCTGCAGGACACCCCAAAGCAAGGCAGTCAGCCTCCCCAGCTTCAGCCAAGCCAGCCATCTCTGGGTGAAGGCCTCTTTAACTTTCTGCTCCTCCCACGTTGAAGTGGCCGGAATTACATTGCCTTGTTGACTGCTCCTCGACAGAGGCTGGTTCCTTATCTACAAACTGAGCTAACCTGTAAGGAAGACAAGCAGTATTTGGAGAGGCTTATTCAAATGTCCTTAGCAGTGGACCGACTAGTACGGGAATGCAGGAAACCAACTGGAACCCTGGTGCCTCCCATGTCCTGGATGTCCAGTCCTGAGGAGGAGAAGCCCGAGCCCTGCAGCTTGGGAGAAGACCTCTCAGCCCCAAAGAACACCAAAGGAAGATCCAGCACCAACTCTGTCTATAGTGTGGAGGGGCAGATCATTACTGCACCAATTGCCCCACCCAACCAACCCCATGCCCCAGCTTGCAACCTACCTGGGTGAGATCCTCCATCGTTATCAGTGTCTATCAGTGTCAATTCACTGTCGCAGTGCAGCTTTCCTTAGGTTTATCTGTCCATTGACCTCTGCTGCAACCTCTAGTTTCTTTATCAAAGCATATGTGTGTGATAAATACTGGATCTGAGTGAGATCAATTGTTCAGAATCGGTGAATGAATTTCAGCTGGGTTATGGGATTCCTGATGTACTAGGTAAGTTTATTTAAGAGCCGGGTGGCTGCAGGGAAAAAAACAGTGAACGCCATGTGAGGTTCTGCTCGTGACTCTTCCGTGATGCCAGTGATGGCATTTAAAATGAGTCCCACTTCAGTTGTGTCATCTGCAAACTTTCAAATTTTGATGAGCTTGTCTGAAGAGGCGCAGTCATTCGTGTAGAGTGAAAATAGGAGGGGTGAGAGAGTACAGCCCTGGGGGCATCCTGTGGTAATGGCCTTAGGGTCAGACAGGTGTATGTAGACAGCCATACATACTGCTTCCTGTTTGTCAGGAAGCTGGTAATCCACTGACAGATGCTTGGAGGTACAGCTAGCTGAGTCAACTTGCTGTGGAGAAGCGATGGAGCAATATTATTGAAAGTCCACAAACAGGATCCTGGCATATGTGTTGGGAGAGTCCTGAGGTTGGCAAATGTAGTGAATGGACAGGTTAATTGCATCCTCCGTTGAGCAATTTGCTCTGCTTGTAAACTGCAGACTGTCAAGGAAGGGGTCTGTGATGGACTTGACAGGCCAGCCACAGTTGGAAAGATCAAGTTCAAAAAGTACAAATCCAGACCAAAATTTTGTCTCAATCAACCAGTTGAGTACTCTGGGACTGTCACTCTTTAGATTCACCAGGTTGGTTAAAATCTTGGTCTGGATTTGTACTTTCTGGACCTGAACTTTCCATCTCTGAGGCCAGCATCAGGCATTCAAAGGTTTTCATAACCACTAAGGTCAAGGCAACCGGCCTGTAGTCATTTAGTCCAGCCCTAATGATGGAAGTGTGTTATTTAATCATACATGAACTGTGTGAATGTACATTTTGACTATTGGAGCTGTGCCATAATAGCTTTTTAAGCCAAGCAACCTCCATGACATAGTTTCTCACTTGAAAGGAGAAATGACCCATAATAAGGTGTTTAGGTTTGCATCTCCTTTTTTCGAGTGTGTGACAGCATATATGTTACCAGATATTACACATAGTTGTATAATCATTCAATTGTTTTACCATCCTAACTTTAATTTTGATTGTAATATTTACAGAAAGTCTAAAGCAAGTTTGTATGGCTTTCAGAAAAACAGCTCATTTCCGTATTGACGTATTTCAATGGAGCATATATTACAGTCATTACGGTAAACCGAACACTCCCTCTGAGATATATTCCGCACTCCCGACTCATGCAACAGTTCGCGCAAGTTGGAGTAAATTAAATCAGTCGTCTTAACTCGTTACTCTGATTTAAAACATAGTGCTGTTCGGGTTCTTCAGGAGGATACAAGTAAGTTGCTGATCGCTGTTTTGCAACTTTTCTTATGAATGACACCGAGAGCCTTTCTCTTGCTGGCGAAGGTAACTTGGTGTGTGTTTACTGCGCGGAAAGTCCTGGATGCGTGCAGCTTACGCGTACGCGTCCATATGCTGCCATTTACGGCGTTAAGCATGCAAAACCTCCGTCCGTGTGATAAATACCGTCCTTATAATACCTTTGTTACCAAACATTTTATCGTGTTCTGTAACTAATTTAGTCTTAGCCCTATCAGATAATCGTAATTGCATTATAGCTCGGGTCACACCGCATAAAATAAATGGCATATATAAACACAGAACTAGCTAGGTTTCCTTATGGACATTTACCTCCGTGGTCGGAATTTTTCTGGGAATTATTTTGGATAATGGCGATAAAGCTACACGGGCCAGCATGCCCGCTTTAGCCGTGGTGACAGCGCCAGCAGCCTGACCGGTCCGGCTGTTATGCGGCTCTGGCGTCGTTATTTCCATTAGAAATGGGGCGCCTTGGCTTTGCAGCGCCTGTCTTTTCGGCTGATCTGCGAAGCTCTTAAATGATTCCCAGTGTGGGCCTTGTGTAAACCACACGGAGCCGGTAACATTACGAAGTGCTGAAAGATGCATGAGAGACGGGCTGGGCTCGTCATCTCGGCGTCCCGTTCGCCGGCGCGGCCGCTGGCGGCTCCTCTTCATTATTCACTCACCGTCCACAAGAGTCGCCTCTTATATTTTCGCGAGGTTGTATTTCACAGTCAATTCCCGTTTTTTAGCCTTTTCGGGTACTACTAAATCTCACTTCTGATCTGTCACACATTTATTATTGTGTCGCAGTCACTTACTGTAACTCGTGGACGTTCGAATTCCCGCCATATTATGGAAGTTAGTGTTGCTCTGTACTTAATCTGTTCAATTATACCTTTATCATAGCTAATAATATCTATCAAGCTTAGTTTGGCGTCAGTGTTACCTTAAAAGGCTTACTAAATGACTCGTTTTGCATGAATAGTTACAGGATTAAACGATTTGGCCAGCTTTTGTTTTTTTTTTAATTATGGGGAAAACTTATTGCTCAATGGACCAGCAGCAGTTTTTCCAAGTCCAATCGCGAATGTCATATGACGTAGTGCTTTGTAGGACATCGATCTGAAAGGAAAGCCCATTTCCATTCCTCATGCCCGGACACCCCCAACTGGAAAAAATATTGTGCACAATTTTTTATATCGAATGTTTAAGCATAGGATCAACACTATAAAAGTGAAAATTAATATCAACATTGCTCGGTATGTATCCGTTTTGCGGGTAACAGATTTGCGAGATTTCACCAGCTGTAGGGAAGTACCAGGATTGCTCCTTTTCAAGCTTTGCAAGACGAAGCCTTTTAATGTCGTTCTTCCCAGGTATTAATATCTGCCTGAGATTAGTACTGCATAATTCTGCAGCCTTTCGGGAAGTCTGCAGTATTCAGTTTCCACCATGAATAATGAAATATACTTTAAATGTTTCTTTTCTAAAAATATCTATATGAACGCAAATGCAAATTAAATTATAATTGCAAAATGTCATCCATCCATCCATCCATTTTTGTAGCCGATTTCCCTCTTCGGGGTTGTGGGGGGGTCTGGAGCCTATCCCGGAGGCTACAGACACAAATCAGGGAACAACCCAGGACTGGGGGCCTACCAAAATAAGTTATCCTTATATGAAAAATAATTGTATGAGGTGCACTGAAAGTTGGTGGGATATTCAGTTTTAAAAATGTGTCTCGTGTAGCTTTTGAAAATCACTTTGTCAAAGCAGGTGGATGTGTGTGTGTGCGATAAATGCTGGGTCTGAGTGAAATCAGTTTTTCCGAACTGGAACTAAATCGGCTTCAATTATGTCCGCAGTATCTTTTGTTTCAGCTCACGATTCCAAATAAGCAGCCCCTCCCCCATTTGCATGAATGGTTCAAGCCATCTAACAAATCTTGTGAAATAGTTAAGTACTTATGTAATAGTACTTTTAGAATTTAAGTTTTTAATTTCTGAAGAAAACTGGAAAGTTTTATTTTCTTTCTTCAGAATGGTTTCAGTTCCATTTCCTATCAAATCTGTAACTTTAAACCAGTAATACATCAAAATAAAGTAGCAAACAGGACCATAAAGGCACCAATGTGGCAAAATAACCTGCTTAAGCAAAGGCTTTAGGTTTCCACAGCTGAGCTGCCAAAACTGTAGGGCATTAATGTAAAAGACCACACTGAATTTGACATGCTGTAAACTTTGTAATCTTTAATTTGTAATGTAAAGTATGTGTTGCTGTAATTTATGAAAAGTTATACAGTTTAACTTGTGGTCAAAATAAGACAAATCAGTTGTGTTTTTATACCATTTTTACATTGTCAACTACAGTTTACGTTTACAAAGTAAATTAATACGATGAAATGCAATATAAGACCCTTTTTTTTTGGTATTTTTCATTTCTTTTTTTGTATTTTGTGTTAGCATACTATGTACTTTTGCCCATGTTTTATCCATCTGCCCAGTTTGAGCTGGGCTGCACCCTGGGCAGAATGTCGCTCCATCACTGGGCACATACAGTCACGCAGACGATGTTAGACCCCATTTAGAAACCTCTCATTGCAAGTCTTTCAACTATGGAAGGAAACCAGTGAAACATGAGGAACATGCAGAAGGTTTAAGGCAGCAGTGCTGTCGACTGAGCCACCTGATACGTATAATATAATGCAGTGCTGCACTGCACTGCACTGGCGCACCCACTGTTGGTATTATGTTGCACTGTGTCACACCTGTCTTGCACTTGTAAATTTTATTTTGCAGTCGTTGCTCCATGACCCCACATGAAAGCCTTTTCTTTTTCTCAACACTTGGTTAAAGTGAAATGACATTTCAATTAATCCTTATTTACATGTGGTCCCTGAACTGTGTAGGTTCTGTAAACACAGAATTGGAACTGTTGTTTTCTCAGTGGTGGGCAGGTGAGATGGCATCCAAGCTCTTGGACAGACTCCGGCGCACGCTGTTCAAGGAGGGTGCGATCCCTGCTGACCTAGAAAGCAATGAGGACTTTCCAGAAAGTTCCGAGCTGGAGGATGACACAGAGTATGTGTCGGCGCGGCTGGGAGGAACGCTCAGCTTCGAGGCTGAGAGGGCGCTGGATTCTGAGGACCCAGGCGAGACCTCGGGGGTGGACAGCGACTCAGATTTTTTTGCAGAATCGCTGGAGAACGGGTCCTGCAGCACAGGTAGATCTGCCATGGCCTACAATGCTAAACTCTTATCATGAGAGGATTTTCTGCGAGTCACAGAAAAATGATACTTGTGTATATATATATTTTTTCTATGTATTCAATATACATGAAAACATAAATGTCCAAAAAAAATTACAAAATTGGTGATAATAGTGACAAATCCTCTCTTATCTGTGGCTGGGCTTGTCTTTCCTCAGAGGAAGTCCAGTGTAAGCATGTTTCACTTCCATCTTCAGTCTGTGACTACACGGCCATTTTTGCACGCTGTGTTCCTGTACACAGTTCCTCTGCATTATTTCTCATTCTGCAGATGCCAGTCCAGTCGGCCTACCATCTGGAGGGACATCCTTGCTGACCAGGCAGCTGCAGGAGAGCTGGCGCAGCTTGCGTTCCCGCAGCCTCCCAGAGAAGCTGGTGTTTGAGGTGACCGACGCCAGTGTGGTGCAGGAGGGCACTTCTAAATACGTGGTGAGTGTGGAGGAGCTGTGCCTGATTGCCCCAGCCGGGGATTCCTGGAAGGCTGTTTCGGCGTCGCGCTGTGTGGAGACACCACCTTGCCCATCTCCCTTCTCAGCTCTACACCATCCACGTGATCCAGTCGGGGACCTTCGACAAGACGCCGGCGGTGATCGCACGACGCTACACTGATTTTGCACGGCTCCACAGGCGCCTGCGTCGCCATCACGGAGAGGAGATGGAAGGCGTGTGCTTCCCCCGCAAGAAGCTGCGGAGGAACTTTGTGGCTGAGACCATCGCTAAGCGCAGCCGGGCCTTCGAGCAGTACCTAGCGCACCTGCATTCCCTGCCAGACCTGCGGCAGTCCCCCATTTTCCTCCAGTTCTTCTACCTGGGTGACCTGCGGGCAGGCCAGATGCTGCTGCGGGCGGGCCAGTACAGAGAAGCCTTAGGCACCTTGCAGAATGCACTCCGGCTTCAGGAGAAGTTGGGGTGCCAGCAGCAGCAAGATCCGCAGCAACGGACCCACTGGATCTTCAACTTGTTGGCACTGGTGGCCTGTTTCCAGGAGCTGGAGCAGCTGGGTGAGGCCCAGGAGCACTGCGACCGTGCCCTGCAGGACCTCACCCCATCCCAAGATGCCCTGCAGCAGCAGCAGTTCCACCCTCTGCTCATCCCACTTCTCCAGGCTAACGTCAGGCTGTCTTGGAAGATCTCCAAGGACAAGCGTCGGTGGGAAGCCCTTTTGCAGGAGCTCCAGGACCGCGGGGTAGACGTAGTAAACCAGCCAAGCTTGAAAGAGTACCTCACAAAGGAAGAGCTGGAGGGTGGTGAGGGGGAGGCTAAACACAGAGCTAGAGACGACACCATCTAAAATACTTACCCAGGTGTTCAGAATTAGTTAAGCATCCAGATATATGCCAGAGCACTACAGGAACGTACACAAGCACAGTGCTGCTCTTCTGCTTCACGTAGGCACCTGCTAAGATGCTAAGAAGCCACTTCATGTTGCTGTAGAGCACAGCTGAAGAGGAAGCACTTTTGATATATCTCTTCATTCTTTATGAACTTTCCTCTTAGACTTTTGCAAATGACACTACTCCATTGATGTACATTTTGCGTAGGTAAATTATGTAGCAAAATGTAGCGGAGCCTGTTACAGTTCTGTGTTCACAGCTAATGTTCTGATTTTCTTTCCTGGGTCATATTTGATGAAGGGATATGTTACAGAATATAAAGGGAAATATATGTGGGTAAAGCCACTCGCAAAACTAATGAAATTAAAGGAAGGTGTTTTTAGAATTTTTATTTTTTGGTTGTGTGCCCTGTGATGGGCATGACATCCCATTCAGGGTGTATCCCAGCCATGTGCTCCAGGATTGATTTTTTTTTTTCCCCCCACACAATGCTGGGATGGTTTTAAAGTGCTAGTGAACTTTTGCTCCAAAGGTCATTCAGTTTTGATGTACTCTACACAAGTACTAGTGTCCTTGGTGGAAATTTTAGTATGATTTTTCAAATGGTTTTGGCATTTAACTTGTCTGATAGTTTTGATTAGGGACAGCTGAACTGTAATAGTAAATCTACTGTTAAGTAGTGCAGACGTCTAAGTTGGGATTGGTTAAGTATACTAGGTTCCAATAGGAATTTACATTTTTTTTCAAGTAGATTTTGATTTCAAAAAGGCTGTACTGTTTACTAGCTTTCTATTTGATGAATAATTTTACTTTTAAGAATATCGTTTGAGAATTGCGTCACAGTCTTGAACCCCGATCTGGCAGTCACTCACCTCTGCACATAATATGGCTTTCTGAGGTACTCTGAAAACATGGCTGTGCATTTCAGTTAATAGAATACAGTCCGTTTGCACTGTTTGCTGTGAACCTGACTAGCATTTAGAAAAACTGCTGCTACTCATTTTATTACACATGCTCTAGAGTGAAAGTCTTTGCACAAGTATAAAAGTGTCGTGCTCATTTGCACTTCTGGCATTGGTGTGGGTTTTTTTTGGGTGGGTGGGTTAGGTGACTGAATTTTCAGTAGCTGATGGAGTTCTATGCTATTCTGATTTTTGCTGTTTTGTGTTACATTTTTAAAGGTGTTATTTAGTACTTTTGTAGGTATGATATCAGTGCTGCATTCATGTTTGTATCACGCATTCTACTCCTTCATTGCACATTCAGTAGTCACTAGGAACGGTTTGTCGTGTGGGCTTCCATGTCATACGCAATGGGGCTTATATTTGCATTTTCCCTCCATCTTGTTAAAGGATATGAAAATAAGCTGTTCAGCTGACGTGGAAATAGTTTATCAACATGGCATTAGAAAAAATACTGGCATTAAGTTAGCGGAAGCTTGTTATTGGTTTCCTTGCTGTAGTGCCTTTGCTCCTTCTACATCTCCGTCTTTAATGAATGTGATCTTAATTTTTGTGAACACTCAGTTTTAGATAGGGTGCAAAAGTTTTACAAACCTATAACATTTGCAGTATTTTTCTACATGTATTGTTTATGGCTTTACCCTTTAGAGCTTCAGAGTGGTTTGAATTATATTTCAATAAACTGTTTTAAAAAATATTGCTTGTTTTTGTTTGATTTAATTTTCGTCTTTCTTTTTTAAGAAAAGCCTGAGTTGGCTGAGGTGTTCATTTCAGCTGGTTTAATTTCCCATAAACACCAGATATGTCAGCACATGCTGTTATCTATTTTTACCTTCTTGTAGCATACCAAAATGTACCACAGCCTTGTGAAAACAAATAATTGATTGCTGAAGTCTTATGAAAGGCATCTCCTACCATCTCAGATTCAATTGGTTGTGAAACTTTTACTGGCTTAATGCATATGCTAGGCATCCCATTTAATTTAGAAGACCCTTTTTGTCCAAAGTGATGTTTGAGTGAGGATCTGAGAGCAGGGGTCAGCCGCCATCTCTGTAGCAACTGTTGTTAAGGGTCCTGCTCAAGTGCCCCAATGATTACTCTGCTAACCCTGAAATTTTAAGAGAGAACCTCCAGATATGGGGACACATGCTTAACCCCTCGGGGACAAATAAAGTTTTTTTTTTTTGATTGATAACCCACTGAGCTACACACCCCCTTGAGAAATGCATAGACAACCTGGTAGATTCAGGGGGGAAGCACTTGATAGGGGCCTTTAAATATGTAAAACGATACCTAAAATTGGACAGGAGACCCAAGGGGACATTTTGCATGCCAGCTGCTCTTCTTTGAAGGTGTATTAAAACATGTAAGCAAACAGAAAATCATAATATAAAGAATAAAGAATTAATTAATCTCTGAAGATGATTGCGCAATCTGAAGTCTGTTTTACTCAATGTGACATAGGGTGACCGGATTTGTCATTTCAGTTAAAACGACCTGGGGATTTACGTAAGCACTGACTTCTTGCTGTGTGCTGATTGATCAGTCTCCTATAACCATAAATGTGTCACTAATGTTAATGTTTATATTGTTTTATTTCTATTTTATTTACTTTGCCGTCATAAAGTTGTTTCTTGTCACCATATGCAGTGTACAGAATATGGCTGCACCAAGATGGTGGCCCAAGGCGAATGCGCAATGCTATTGATGCCCTCCTAGTGCGCCCCTAGTGGTCTGGCACCCCCAGCAAATCTGTTGGCAATATTAATTTATTGTCCTTTAGGCGTCCAATTCGAGGACAGTGATTGGCTCATTTTATGTTGCTATGTGCATGTCTTGTATCAGTAATTGGCTACGCTGCTACATGAAATGGGCACTTTCTTTAGCGCCCAAGACATATTTCAATAAGACTGAGTGAGACGAGGACAAACATGAAGCTGATTTTACCCCAAACGTCATGATTTTTCTTATGTATGTGTGTGTATATATATATTAATATATATATATATATATATATATATATATATATATATATATATATATATATATATTACACGCTATTATGCATTTTCAACACAGTGGGCTAAGCCTCTGTACCTGTGATCAGAAGGTTGCCGGTTTGAGCCCGGCCTTACCTTACCATGTGTGTGGGTCCTTCAGCAAGGCCCTTAACCTCCAGCTCCCTGGGTGCTGTAACTGGTGGCTACAGAGAGCTGGGGAGGCATAAAGAGAATTTCTTCACTCGGATCAATAAAGTATTATTATTATTGAAATTAAGTAATTTTAAAAAGAAAAATGAAAACTCCCTGTTAAACCAGGGAGGGCGGCGCTCTAGCGCCCTCTGTTGACCAGTCGCCTCTGGTGAAACAGCTAGTCTTTCAATCAAGCAAATAAACCAGCCAAAGCATAAGAACTGAATCATTTAGCCAAGCACAGGAGCCTTTCATTTTTAAAGTAGTTTGTAAAACCTGAAGTAGATCAAATTGTCATGGATTTTCTGATCACCCTAATGTAGCCGAAAGCTACATATTTGTATGTAAAGAACCGCTGTCAAACTCAAGGCCTTCGAGATGAATTGCGATCTATAAAAATAATGTTGATAAAGTTTGTAATCGTGCCCTCAAAACGATTTTAGAATTATAGCATTGATTTGAAAAATACGCATCATATTCTTTAAAAAAAAAACAAAAAAAAACAACAACTGGTATTCTGTTTTTTTCCATTCGGGGGCACTGGAGTGCCTAAAGCGGTACTGTCACTGTCACACTGACCATGCTGGTAAATGTACGCGGGAGCGTCTTTGAACCAGAGAAACACTAAACACTGCTGCATTTTTCATTGGCAGGAGAGGTTGTAATATAATTGGCATATAAGTGCTGGATTTCGCATATTTTCAGGCGTTGACTTTATTCATCCCTATATGTATGTGTGGTATGTCAATGCATAAACCGCACTGAGTGAAAGGACGGCATCCATGGGGCGCTGCGCTTCGAAGTTTGTTTGAAATGTTACAGTTTGTTAGATGGCCTTTAACTTATGTGAGCGTCATAATGGTATAAAGTCTATATGGTGGAATCTAGTGCAGAGCTAAAAAATAAATTAAAAAAGTGGGACCATCCCGCCCGGAATCGAGTTTAACACCCCCGCCGTCACAATTGATGGAGAGATTTGTCTCACATTACTGTTAACAGGAGATGACATCTGACTCTCATTTTGAAGTCGCCCATTCGTCTTCCACATCGCTTACCCAGTACGAGGACTGGGTTTAGGACCGATTAGAAGTTAAAGCATACGGCGTATGGACCCAGCGGAACTCTGCTTAACTCCCTCCCTCCCCTTTGCGCTTCTTTGCCTTAAAACCATAAGTACATACGGCTACTGCTTAAATCAAAACTTGAAGCTGGAGAGATGAGGCTGGCCGGGGTCTTGCTTTTTCTCTGTGCCGTGCTACACTTGTTCGAATGGAGTAGTTCAGCTTTAATCGCCGTTGGACACAATTCAACGGGTGAGCAAGAAGCATAAGTCTGTCGCTGAGAATAAGTGGCTCACGGTCCTTATTTGAAATTGATTATTAATGTGGACTTTTGGAAAGTAACAGTTGATAATGTTAATCAATGGTAGTTAAATGGGCTATGTTTTTAAATGGGCTTGTGAATACATGTGTATCACACACATAATTTACGTTGATTTTGACTTTTTTAAAATTTAAAGTGGCGCACAGAACATAAAGTATGGAACTGAGATAAATAACATCAATGGTATATTCAAACAACCAGTTTATGTTTCTATATCGTGCAGAGAAGTTTCAGGTTTCTGAACATCTGCGCGTTCCACCATACAGATAATCTACTGGGTTTGTACATAACTGCAGTGGTGTAGTTGTTTCACACTATTTCCACTATAGATCATAAACTGGTTTGTTTCCTTTGTATAATAAATATGCGGTATATCTGGTAGGGCCTACATTATGCACTAGTGATTGGGGCGTAGAAAACACACTGTTTTGTTCCATATGCTTGCATGCACGTATAGTTTTTAAGTCCAACGTTTAAAAATTCCCACTTTAACATTCATAGTGTTCATTGTGCCGCTTCTGATTGGCTTATGAAGCGCTGCCCTTTGCAGATCGGGCTGACAATGTCCCCCCACCCCCTTCCAGCTCCCAAGCCTGGTCATTGTCCCAAGCGCTTGACGGTGATTCCGTCTAAACGGGCGTGTTCTGGGGACTCCGACTGTCCGGCCCTGGACAAGTGCTGCACCTTCAGCTGCGGGGCCGTCTGCGTGCCGGCTGCTTTCAGTAAAGGCTTCTTTTCTTGTCTAATTAGTAGGCTTTGTGTAGTGAAACATTTATTAATTTGGAGATTTATCAAAAGACTTCTCTCTCTGGTGGATCACCTATGAATACAGTGCTGTACCTTCTATATTTTAATGAGTATTCATGTGATGCAGCTCATCTGGGAAACGTTTTATGCAATAATGCAACCAAATTATATTATCACTGATGCCAGCAGCTATGACAAACAACTGACAGGACGACTAACTCCGCATTTCCCACAATTCTCCTTGTTTGCCTGCTCCTTAAGCTAAGCCAGGGGTGTGTCCGCGCCGGAAGCGGGGCTCCGGGATGTGTGCAGAGTTCTGTGTCGACGACAGCGACTGTCCCAAAGCTGAGAAGTGCTGCTATAACGGATGTGGCCACGAATGTGTCGCCCCTTACACAGGTATTACAGGCGCCTTTAAACTACCCGTTACAACAGTTGTGGGATCGTACTGACGCTCCCTCTGTGCCACCAGTAAAACCAGGCAGCTGCACCCGCCCCAGTGGGACCCCGATGTGCGCGGAATTCTGTTACCATGACGGCGAGTGTCCGGATGAGCAGAAGTGCTGCAGAACCACGTGCGGTCACGCCTGTAGCGACCCCTGCTGATAGATTGAGGGACCTGCTTCCATTACTTGAACCCGCTCCACTTCTGTACACTCATAGCGCTTATCTGCTTCATTTGCTGTTTTCCATGGTTTTACATGTATTTGTACTAGGGTCAATAAAATGTCATGGCTAACCAGGAGTCTTTGCATTACCAAAGGGTTTCCATTGTACTCTATTGTACGTTTTAGCAGTCAGTATGTGTTTATGCAGAACACTGGCCACAACTAGTTGATTGCAGCAAGATGGGAAAAAAACTCAGATTTAACATGAAAACTGTAAATGGGACATGACTGTACACAGAACCAGCAGCTGGCTCCTTTGTGAGAGAAGCATGGGAGCCTCTCCAGTACACTGCTCACAAACTGCAATGTGTTTTCATTTTTCCACCCACTTGCATGCATGGATGCCTAAGCTGGCACACACAGAGAACGGCAAGATCAAACTGATGCAGTTTTTACAGTGGTAAAAATTCATTACTGTTAGTTCTCAACCGGTCATGAAAAGGGCCTCTGTGTCTGACTCCTGGGGTGTGGAACCACTGAGACTGGGGGGACAGGAAGGCTTTGTCTATGCCAGACATTATGGTATAAGCTCTGCATGGGCCTGGTTAGCTGAACTGGAAACAGATTCCTCAAATATGCAATTAGAAAGCTCTTGGCAAAAAGCAGGCAGGCTGATGCTGGTGGAATGTATGTTTAAGCCTCCTGTGACTGCATTCTTCCCAGGGTGCCAGGACGGGACAGACAGACTGCTGTGTACCAGAGGATGTAGTTGGGGGTGG